GCTACCGCTTCAACGGCAGTGTGCACAAGGCATCGTGAGAGACGACGACGAAAGCCTCTTGGCGTCTCGCTCCCCCGCCATCTTTCGAGCTCTCGACCCCGCCACTGGCACGAGGCCGATACGAAGTCAAAACGAACGACTTGTTAACAAACAGATTGGTTGTGCTTCAGAGATTAATTTTCCGTCCGGGCCGCGACCCCCTGGAGGGCGACGAGATGCGGCCCCCAAGGAGGCATGGCAGCGTGAATGAGCTGTTGTTTGCAGAATACTACATGTAACGTTTGTCAATTTGCAGAAGCACTGTGTAAAAGACGAAGCCAGAGAAAAAAAACGGGGAGCGGCCCTTTTTTCTTCTTTTTATTTTTGGTTCTCTTGCCTCCTTCTATTTGAGTCAGGTCACCCTTTTGTTGAATTCTATTCACACTGAGTGTCCATACTAACTAAACAACGCAGATTTGCCTGCCATTCCATGGTTGCAGCTTATTGTGACCCATGTGGCCTAAAATTACACTGTTTTGCCTGCTGAATTCACATCTACCTCTCATGCGGCGAGTACATGTCCAGTACGGCACGCTCTGTACTTGTACACGGCTAGGGCTGTGGCGATGCAGATACACGTAGGTTGCACTTTATGGGCACCCCCGGCACTCCAGAGATGATCTTTTTTCCCTTATCTCTGGCGCCTCCGCCTCCATCAAACGTGGGTGGATTGATTCGCCAGGGGCTTGAATGATGCTAGCAGTAGTGGCCCCCCCTCCCCTGTAGCACTCCCTCTGCCTCGAGCCAGGGCCTGCAAAAGCCCCCTGAAGCAGCCGGCTGCGCAGCGCAGACTGCCGTACTTGTACCAGAGTGGCACCGGCGGATGTGGCCCGCGTCCTGTACCGGTACTTGTGGGAAGAGCTTCTGGCGCTCGTTGCATATTACTGCCTTGCTCAGCATTGTACGCGCGCAGGAATACACTGGAGGCCAATTTCCAGGAGAAGAGACGCGGTTTTAATTGCCTCGATGCGCCGGGCTGTGTCTCCGTCTGGCACTTCTCTAGCCTCGTAGACTCCTATTTGACCTCCCCTTCCCTCATTTGAGAGACTTCTCTTTTCTCTCTCTTTTTTTTTCTCTTCTCCGAGCACACCACCACCACCACCTTTTGTACGACTCGTATTTTGCTTTTTCTTTCTTTTCCTCTAATCGTCTCTGCAACCCGCAAGCGCCCAGCAACCTAATTCTCACACTTGGCTGCTTGCGCGAGACTTTTCTTCTTCCGGGCAGTCCCTGTTTTATTTTTTTCGTTATACGAACAGCACCCTCGCTTTATTGCATACGGGACGCCCCTCACACTCTTTTTTCCTCACGCTCTCAACCCACCCCTTGTCGGCTTTTTTTGAGGCTACGTACTTCGTACCCTGCCCTGCTAAAAAAAGGACGCCTGTCAGTCCGTCCGCTCGTTCTCTCTGCGCGTCTCCCCTAAATCCAGAGACAAAACCTCTGTGCGAGCAGCTGCCGCCTTTCACCTTCTTCAACCTTTACACGCCTGCAACTCTCCCTGCGAATTGCATCAGCGCCGCCGCCATCATGTCTGGTGGAGAAGAAAAGATCAGAGTGTCGGGCGACATCACTCGCGCCGACAGCTCTCCTGTCCTGCCCACCGTCAACCCCCAGGTTGACAAGCCCGCACCCGCCAAGGCTGCTTTGCATCCCGTCTTCTATGTTGTGTGAGTTTGCCATTGGGAGAGAAAGCAGATCGACGAGGAGATGGTGGGCTTTGTTTTGCTAATGCGCCGCGCAGCACATGGATTGGCTTCAGTTCTTCCGTTATCCTGTTCAACAAGTGGCTCCTGGACACGCTCAACTTCCGTATGTGCCTCCCCCTCTACTCTTCTCCCGCCAATTCACACAATGTGCGCTGACGCTTTTCGGCTCCAGGCTATCCCGTTATCCTCACGACTTACCACCTTACCTTTGCCACCGTCGTTACGCAGATTCTGGCCCGCTGGACGACTCTTCTCGATGGCCGAAAGACTGTCAAGATGACCGGTCGCGTCTACCTGCGAGCCGTCGTCCCCATTGGTGTCTTCTTCAGCTTGAGTTTGATCTGCGGCAACCTGACCTATCTCTACCTCTCCGTTGCCTTCATTCAGATGCTCAAGGCCACCACCCCCGTCGCCGTCTTGATTTCCGGCTGGGCTCTGGGTGTGTCTTCGCCAAACCTGAAACAGTTCCTCAACGTCTCCGCTATTGTCGTCGGTGTCATCATTGCGTCGATGGGCGAAATCCACTTCGTCGTTATTGGTGTCATCTACCAGATTGCCGGTGTCATCTTCGAGGCTCTCCGACTTACCATGGTCCAGAGACTCTTGAGCTCTGCCGACTTCAAGATGGACCCTCTGGTTTCTCTCTACTACTTCGCCCCCATCTGCGCCGTCATGAACGGTGTGGTTGCGCTGATCTGGGAGTTCCCCAAGGTCTCCATGGCTGAGGTTTACCATGTCGGCTTCTTCACCTTCTTCCTCAACGGTCTCTGCGCCTTCATGCTCAACGTCTCCGTCGTTTTCTTGGTTAGTTGCCTCTTCCCGATCCACTTTCGCGCTTGTAGTTTCATGTCGGCTAACTTTATATATGCAGATTGGCAAGACTTCCGCTGTTGTCCTCACCCTTTGCGGTGTCCTCAAGGATATTATGCTTGTTGTCGCCTCCATGATGATCTGGGGCACCCAGGTGACTGCTCTGCAGTTCTTTGGCTACTCCATCGCTCTCGGTGGCATGGTCTACTACAAGCTCGGCTTCGAGGCTCTCAAGGGCTATGCCGGTGAGGCTGGCCGCCAGTGGGCCGAGTTTGGTGCTCGCAAGCCTATCCTCCGCAAGCTGTCCATCATCGTGATGGCTGTCTTCTTCATCTTCTGCCTCTTTGGTGGCCTGGCTCCTACTTATGCCCCCGAGTATGACCCCCATAAGCTGGCCTCTGAAGTTACCAACCACTTCAAGGGCAATGCTGCCGCCGCGGCTGCCGCTCAGGAAGCTGCTTAAACGTCATGAATGAAACCATGGCTCGTTTAAGAGCCAAACTGTAAAACGAAGCACGATTGCGTCAACGGCGTTGTTTGGTTGGAAGGACAGTCAATCTAACGGTCAATCTTCTTTTTCTTGTGAGCGACGGGGCCATGATTAAGGCTCCGACGCGTTCTTTCATTCTCACCAAAAAATTCCGGCAAACCAGAAAAGGTGCCCCTCTAATTTGGAGACAAAGAGGGGCTTGCGTCATCCTTGGTTGTTTGAGACCTGCTATTTTTTCTTATTGGTGTATAATTATAGAGCGTCGAAGCAGCACTCCAGGTCGATGCTGCTCGAACAAAGTTTGTATCGCGCCTAGGTCTAATTAGATGTACTTTAGATGGCGTGAAGCACGAGTTTATAGAAATGTAGAGATGAAATCACTACAAAGCGTTTTAATATGTTTTTGTTAAAAAAAAATGAAAAAGAAAGACTTGAGACTCATATCGTGTATATAACACAAGTGTTTGTAATTTTTTTTTTTGTTATTCTCCCCCCATGGCACAAATGGAATTATTAGCAATGAGGTGCAGAAAAAATCAATTGGTGTAGCTACAAAAAGCCAAACGGTCTATCTCAAGGCTTCGGTTTTTATTTTCTTCCCCTCTTTCGTGCCATTCATGAACCAGCGCCGGGTTAGGAACACTGGGAGAGTGGTGTAATCGTGTTTCCCTTTCAGATCAATGTCGCTTTCGAGTCCCACGTCACTGGCAACGAGAACATTCACGTATTAAAGAAAACATGTGAATAATTTGATAATGAACATCATATTTGAGCCCATAAACCGTGGTTCCTTAAAAGTACCAATCGATGCTCTTTACATCCCGCCAACTCCCAAACCGTGATGGAGAAAACGATTTTTAATTTAGAATCCTAATAGGAGAGAAATTAGTTAGCGACTTGATATCTTTATCTGTCTCGATTTTTTTCTTCAGAGGGTAGCATCCGGGGATAATAAACATACTCAGAGGGGTGAAGAACCATCGGTTCTTGCCGCTGGTGTATCGCTCCTCCAGAACCTTCTTGACAGTCTTCTTGGCGTCCTCGCGCTGGCTGACCTCCTTGAAGGTGTCTGCGGAGATGGTGCCCTTGATGCCCTCGAGCTCAAGAGTGTATCGGGTGGGCATCAGGTGGTTGTAGTTGATGACCTTGATGAAGGGCTTGACCTTGCTGCGCTTCTCCTGTCGGGTCTTGGACATGCGACGGGTGATCTTTGAGGGGTAGCGCTCGATACCGGCAACGATGGCGTGGCCGAAGGGGTGAGGCTTGTTGCCGTTGTCGACGGGCTGGATGATGACGACCTGGAAAAAAGAGAGAAAAAAAGATACAATGTCAGCACTTCCAGTCCATTTTGACTTTCTTGTAGTAGGCATTGTAAAGCGTGAAGCCGCAATCAGAGCGAAAAATTCCAACAGCACTCGTGTCCAAAAATTCATCTTGCCCTTCTCTTTCTGTGTATGTCCTCCTCCTTCTCGCCGAATGGTTTCCTCCTGGGGCAGAAAAGAAAATTATGCGACGTCGAGTGCAAATTTGAGAATTGATGCTGGGCGGTTTGGGATTGTTCGTGTTTTTGAATTCGTACCTTCTTGCCGGCATATCGGCCTCGGGTGATGATGGCGACTCGGCCGACCTTGAGGAACTTCATTTTGTCCTGCCTGTGGGTGGTCGGTATGTGCTGGGAAGGGTAAGGGATTTCGTCGTCAATAGAACCGTGATCGGGAATTTGGTGCAAAATTTGGGGTTTGTGGGCTGTCGATTTGGGGCAAGCGACTCGCAGGTGCTATGTCACGTGGCGATTGCGTTTGCTTATCTAAAGCGGGCCCGTGCGCGCGGCTCACTTTTGCTGATTCACCATGTCCTTAGTAGAGCGATATACTTGCTACCTAGTAGTAGCCCTCACCAGCAGTTTGAATAAGAGCTTTGAGCCAGATAGGAATCAAGTAGACATTGCGATAATGCCTGCGCCGACGTACATCATTTCTCGGGTCGCTGACCCTATCTTTGCGGTCTTTATTGGATTGTCGGCTGCTGGGACCAGGATCAACCGTGAGGAAAAAGCCGAGGGCAAGACGACGAATGAGACAATAGAGGCTGGACTACGGTATGAGACTTGGCAAATGCACATTGAAATACTCCATGTTTGCTAAATAATGTTTTCTTAGACGCGTTGGGCTCTCTAAGAAATAGCTTTTTCTTCTTCTTGAATGTCAAGGCCTTGGCCCAGAACGCCACTATCCTATGCTCTTAAGATAAAACAAACGCCAAATTATGGGTCACCACTACCATGTGATGACCCAACTCATAACTACTCGTCTTCTTCTGGAAGATACAAAAAAGGGAAATGCCATGTACCAGGCTCGTTAGAGGGTTAAAAAAGAAAAACACTTTACATCTCAAATGCGGGGCCATACTCCTTCTTCATCGCTTCTCGAACCATTTGCCCGCAGAGTTTTGCCGTTGGGTTGACACTGACGGCCAGAGCCTTTGCAATCTGATTTCCATATCTGCCGCCGAGTGCCAAATCTCTTGAAGCAGCTTCTTCAAAGTCCACGCGGGACCAAGAGGCTTCTGGGCGGCTGTCATCGAGATCCAGCTGGCGGTCCGATAAGAGCTTGGCAGTTCTTAGGTAGATGGCTGCCCTTTGCGTGTGCGCCATGGACAACGTCCGGGCTGCCTGCGCAGACATGGGGGTTGTTGGCAATGGTGGTGTGAGCAGACGGATTGCAGTGTCCATGTCTTCCAATGTTTCCATGGCTGCCTTTCTCTTCTCAGCTTGTTCTGGTTGAGGGATCAGCGGCATTGGCATGGTTGATGTATAGTTCAGCAGCATGGCGTCTCCATACAGCCGCCGCATGATTTGGGCGCGGTTATTTCTTGCGCTAGCGTATAGAGGATAATCTGAAATAAGACTGCCAAAATCTGACACGCAAGTCTTGTAGCTTTCGATGGCCTTGTCCGTGTCCTCTTCGCTCTGGAAGCTAATGAGCTTCGTCTCGATAGATTGGAGTGTGCGGATTATGGTGCGTTCCCTCTCCATCACTCTCTCATAGACGCTGTGGTCAATGATCTGGGGGTCGCGAGGCAGCGCAGAGTCGATGACGACGCCCGCGGCCGGATTGGACTCGGGGTCCTTGATCTTCTCGAGCACATTGATGTCGTGCCGGCTTAACGATACTGTTGTCATTTTGGCTGTGGTAGTTGACGTCGACACTTGGGATCTCGAAGAAGAGGATATCAAGTTTTCTTGTAGGATTGATTATACAGCTGGAAATTTGAAGTGGCTTGAAAAAAAGTTGTTACAAGGACGGAAAAAGGAACAAACAACGAAGTGGCGGCTCTAATTCATATGAAACCCAGATGGTCTACAATGGGGAGCATTACCTACAGTAGCCGTGTCAAGTGACTCGCCGCTGGGCAGACCGTTTGCTTCGGCAGCTAGCGGATCTTTGACAGTAAGCGGAATATTTTGGTCCTTATCTCATCCAAGATCGATCGGCTTGCGACTCTGCTCGCGCGCCCGCATGCTGTCATCCGTCTGAGGTGGTGGCGGGCGGAAGCAAAGCCGGGCTCAGGGCGGGGCGGCCATTGTCGGTTCTCCTCGGTTTCCACCGCCGGCGCGGCCTGATTCCGCACGGCTTCTGACTCCCGGCGCTACGGCGTTTGGGACCGTTCGCAGCAAGGAGATTCAAGGTCGCATTGATGATCGTGGCAAGGCCCCGCAGCAGAAACGAGGCGTCAACGGCAACGACCAGTGAGAGCGCGGGTTTTTGCCATAGCTGCTGTCTAACAGGCCTCGTGCATTTGTGCTCCGAGCTGGCCGGGGGGGATGAACACACTGCCCTGTTACGCAGCGAGTGTTTGAAGGCCCAGCATAAGCCGCCTCGAAACTCTGAATCAACTTGGGCCGTTAGAATCCGATGGCAGAGGTGACTGCTGGTGGAGATGCGCTGGAAGAGCTTTACAAGATTCATAAGCCCGTGCTGCCCACCATGGGCCATATGTATATATATACATGCCATTCGAATCTTTCAAGCCACTGAGCAAATCTGAATCTAGGCACTATTCTCAATACACCATCTTCCACCCTTCAAGACCTCGAGTTTGGTCACCACATCTCGCTTTAACAGGCACATATACAACCCGGTTTCCCCAGAAATCCACCCCCATATACCTTCTGAGTGGCAATGTCCCCGTCTGCTATCAGCAACTCCCCACAGCAGCAGCCTGCAACCAACGGTGCCAATCCCGACAACTTTGCGATCCAGCCGCCCGCCGACTTCACCGGCTATGATCACATAACCTGGTGGGTTGGCAACGCCAAGCAGGCGGCCTCATACTATACCACTCTCTTCGGCTTCGAGACCACCGCCTACCGCGGACTCGAGACTGGCAGCCGGTACTTTGCCTCATATGTCATCTCCAACAATGGCGTTCGCTTCGTCTTCACGTCGCCTATTCGATCGGAGGCCCACCTCCCTGCGGATGAGCCCATCTCCGACTCGGACAGGGCTCTCCTGAAGGCCATGCATGCTCACCTTGAGAGGCACGGTGATGCCGTCAAGGACGTTGCCTTTGAGGTTGATAACGTCGCGGGCGTCTATGACAAGGCTGTGGCCGAAGGCGCCATCGCCGTCCAGGGCCCAACCACCACCAAGGATGACAACGGCTCCGTCACCACGGCCGTCATCTGCACATATGGCGATACCACACACACACTCATCAACCGCCGAGGCTACACTGGGCCTTTCCTCCCCGGATTCCGCGCTGGTAACAAGCGCACTTCCTCCATGGAGATGCCCAACGTGCCCCTTGTCCGCATCGACCACTGCGTCGGAAACCAGTCGTGGAACGAGATGGTCTCTGCCTGTGCCTTTTACGAGCAGTGCCTCTCCTTCCACCGCTTCTGGTCTGTGGACGACTCCCAGATCTGCACCGAGTTCTCTGCCCTGAGCTCCATCGTCATGGCCTCTCCCAACAACATTGTCAAGATGCCCATCAACGAGCCCGCTGCAGGCAAGAAGATGTCCCAGATCGAGGAGTACGTCATCTTCAACTCCGGCCCGGGCGTCCAGCACATCGCCCTCCTCACGTCGGACATCATCGCCTCCGTCTCGGCCCTGCGCGCACGCGGCGTCGACTTCATCAACGTCCCCTCCACGTACTATGACACCATGCGCCAGCGCCTCAAGACGGAGAAGCGCAGCTGGCAGCTCAAGGAGGACCTGGACACGATCCAGCGCCTCAGCATCCTCATCGACTACGATGAGGGCGGCTATCTACTGCAAATCTTCACCAAGCCCCTCATGGACCGCCCTACCGTCTTTATTGAGATTATTCAGAGGGATAACTTTGAGGGCTTTGGAGCTGGTAACTTCAAGAGCTTGTTCGAGGCCATTGAGCGAGAGCAAGCCGAGCGAGGAAACTTGTAATTTGCATATAATGATTTTTTCATTTTTTTTTAGCGTGATTCATGTTTAGGAGTTTGATCAAAAACTTTGGGGCATTTTTGAATAAATGCAATAGGAGCTTTCGAGAGCTTTTTTGGATGAGTAGTTAGGGAGCATAGTAGCTACGATTACGAATCATGCTGAAATGGATCAAAAAATATTAAATTTTATTTCAAAAAATTATTCCTACTGTAATTGTTCTTATATCGTGATCCTTTTTTCTTCTTCTTTTGCTTCTTCCTTATCCGACTGTTATAAAAACCATCCAACCTTTGTAGATAGCCCGAGAGAAAAAAAAAAAAAAGAAAAAAAAAAGGTATCTCCCCTTTTGTAATAATAGGGCACCAACCGTGTACTCCATACATGCTCGCTCAAACCCAGGCGCTGTAAGTAGCTATAGATAAAGAAAGAGAAAAGAGGTTATATCTGTAGTAATATCCAGACCACGCGCAAACAACAGCCATTCTCAAAAGTACTTTTTGAAGCTGTTTCCAGCCTAGATCCTCCTCCTGCTCACCCGAGAGAGTCTTATTCAACTATCCGTCTATGACCATGACTCCACTACCGTTCGTATGCCCATTCCCATTTGCTTCCACCGGCACGGCTGCCGCAACGCCATCAACACCAGCAGGTACAGCCTGTGACTGGCTCTGGCATCCGGGACAGTTATGTATCACCATATGAGCAAAGACATCACAGTCAATGCAGAAGTGGTTCCCGCACACTTGGCACTTATACCTCCCGCTTTCACTTACGCCCTTGGCGGGCGCCTTGACGGGTGCTTCGTCTTTTCCTTTTTCCTTGTTAGGCTTCGGGGGCTCCAGAAAGGGACTCTGGCAGGAGAAACAAGCTGTGGACTGCGTCGCTTCGGCCCAAGGCACTTCGACCCAATTTCGCAGTGGGAAGAGATGGTGATATGACCGAGCAAGATGTGTAGATAGAATAAGCGTCAGCCCACAGGCGGGACACTCTGAAGGTAGTCTGCAGACTTTGACGCTGCATCGAGTGCAGAGATAGCCCTCTCGACAAGGCTTGCTGTGACAAGCACAGTAGCTTGTGGTCCCTCCGGGAGCAAGAGTCCGTGACGGGAAGCCCATCATTAGGAGACTAGATGTGCTCTGCTCTTTTGTTCGGTTCACGGGGGGTGTAGTTGCCGCCAGGAAGAGCTCCTTGTAGTGTGTTTCGTCCATGGCGACATTGTATTGTGATTCGTCGCCCGCGTTCGTTCTCGAGCAGAGCTCTGCGCAAATAGCAACCTGAGCAGACAGTCCGACAACAGATACTCGTATTCGCTCGGCGATGAGGTTGCTGATAGTGTCGTGAATGTCGCCCGGGTCACTCGATAGTAGAGCGCCGTAGATAATAAGCACTTCTCGTGTTCCGTGCGAGGGAGCATGACTATCATCCAATGAATGCCATCCCCAGGTTAGCTCTCCGCGTCCAGAAACAGCATGATCATGTGTAGTAACAACTCACAACAACGCTCCACGACACATTTCCAACGCATTCTGCAAGCTCGGATTGCCCTGTGGATCCTGGCCCTCCAAATCTCGCAGCCGCTCCAGATGCTCGGCGGGATTGCCTCCCATATCGCTTATCCGAACCGCCACGCCATCCCTCATGCCCACAATGGCCAGCTGTGAAATCGGGTTTTGCTCAAAGTACTCCCTCACAAACGCCGCCGCGTAGCTCAGCGTCAGCCTGTGCCGCGTGGGCAGCAGGTCCTTCTCGGCCATGGCGAACGACATGTCCAGCACCAGCACCAGGTGCCGTATGATGCCTCTCTGCAGGGGCGTCGTGTCGCGCAGCAGCCGCCTGCGCCGCTCGGCCTCGTAGCCCGCCAGGTTGAGCATGCCATCGTCTTCCTCGGGGAGGTCCGTCTCCCATGTTCGCTTGGACTGCTCCCACGCCTTCGATTCGTTGCGGTCGCGCTTCTTCTTGAACGACTTTGAGCCCTTGGTTCGCGTTGCGCTCGGGTCGCCGTCGGTCACGGTGTGGTCCATGATGTCGTCGTCCGACATGTCGGCGACGTACTCGCCATCGGAGTCGGCCATTGTGAATTGGATGGAGCCAGCAGTCTAAAAGCGTCTAGATTGTGTGATTAAAGGAGAAATTGAACTAAGAAAGGGGGGGCAACAAATGAGTGTAGTTGGTAGGAAGAATTGGGTGGTGGCGTAGCTGGAGAGTTGAAGCAGTGATAATTGATAAGGCTGCCAAGATCATTATCTCAGCCTCGTTTAGCGCATCACATAGCTCCCCACTACACGCGAAAAGCATAAACCTGTCATGATTCTTGACATCAAAGCAACATCCCAAATCATTAGTGCTAAGCTCTGTTTCATATTGCAATCCAAAGAAACGTGGAATATTTTCAATCTCAATCTAAAACTCTTATTATTATAGGTGAATATCACTCACTTCACCTGGGGTATACTGTAAAGTCTTATCTAAACCACCATACAAGCTATCTGGCTCAAAACCCCATAGCATGCATCCACCTACAGCCAGAAACACGTATTTTCTTCCCACATACCTTCTCCAACACACAAGTTGCCCCTGAACCAAAGATGCACCAATACGCAAAACATTGCTATCGAAGAAGCTTCAAACACCTCGCTGGATGAGGATAAGACACACCAACCGCAGCTTCAGCTCCAACATAATGCAACTGGTCATCCTACCACCTTCCCCTTCAGACCAAAAATAAGCAAGGAAAAAGAAAGAAATCCATCACAACTACTATATCCTAGCAGTTTTATATGTGGTGCGTGAGCGCGTCGTTCGACTCGTCATAAACTCGTCGAGGAAAAAAGCGTATATATGATAAAGAAGCAGAGAAAAAAAGAAAGAGAAAATGAAACCATCAATGCTACCGCCTATGAACGCCGAGTTTCAGGAACCCCAAAATGTTGCAAAATTATCTCAGTTGTAAGGCTGAGTATTGTACGATTGAGATGAGTAGCCCTGGGAGTAGGACTGGCCGGCATATGCCTGGCCAGCATATCCGGCACTGGCAGTATAGCCCGGGGATGTGTACGATTCTGTTGCAGGCATGGGCCAGTCGTCCTCGGTGATGCTTGACCAGAAGACAAAAATCATGCCGACGGCCAGAAGCGTGAAAAACGTCTCAAAGAGGGCTCCATCCACCTTGCCGCTACTCCCATCGCAGATGTACTTGCTGATCACGTAGTTGAAAATTTGGCCAATGGCGAAAAGTAGTGCTGCTCCGGACAAATATATCATCGGGCGGAGCTCTCCTAGAACTCGTAGCACAAGGATAGTCTCAAGAACATAGAATGCAACGAGAAATATCAGCGGGATGAGCTGGTATAGCACGTAGAGGGCAATGTTTCGGTTCGGGAGATGGTAGCTGCTGTCCCAAAATCCGGTCCAGCTGAAGCCCGTGTCGAGAGCAATATAGCCAGTGCCAATGAAGAGCGCGCCAGAGGAAATCGCCAGCAGGCCAAGAGACAATGGGGTTCCATCGTCCAGCAACTGGTATCCAACAACAGCGTTCAACATAAGAATCCAAGTAGTTGCGATAATGGCCCCAAGGTGAATGCCGCTAAAAGCCTAGATTACGAGAAAGTCAATAAACGATGAACCTGTGTCATGGCGACTAAAAGAACGGAGCGAGGCAAATCCAGCGGCAGACAGGCAGGCAGACATACTATTCGCACAGTATCGTTGAGAGGGAACTCGCCAACAGAGAAAATCTCGCAGATGCTAATAAGGATATAGCCGATGAGGAATAGCTGGATCTCGCTATAGGAGGTATCGTGTTAGCTGTGGTATCCGAAAACTGTGTGTATGGGAGCACATACCGACGGCCCACGGCAGCCTTTTTCTTGTCCGCCTTGAGGATCAAGAAGGTCGCCATAACAATACCAAGGCCGCACAGGATAATTGATCCAATGTTGCCCAGGTGACGGCCGCCGCTCAGCGAAATCCCTCTGAGCTCACATCCTCCCCATGGACCGGTTTGGTTGTGGAATTTTTGAGATAGAAGCTATATATGCAGTAAGAGCGGGTGGTTAGTTTCGAAGATCATTTGCCGTTTATGCTTGTCATCGTCTCCTGTTTCTTCCAACAAACTTACATTGCAGACTGGCAAAGTCGAATCTTTGCAAAAGTCCTGTTTACACAATCAGTCAGCCACGCCAGTTGCACAGCACCGCGGGGGAGTGAGACGAAATGAGATGCGGTTTGGACGACGGCGTACATTGAAGTTTCCAAAAGCCGTGGACCCCATTGTGACTGCGGATGCTTAGCAGTTTGATCAGCACGCGATCAGCATCCAGCGATGCAATCACAATTGGGGCGGCAGAATTGACGAGAATGGCGATGGGAACGAAGGTCGACTGTCAGGATGCAGCAAGTCGGTGTTTGGTTGCCGGTGGCGCTAAAGCAGCTGCAGAAGCTGGTCGAGGAGTGCGTATTAGGGCGGAGATGCAGAAGAGGCACAGGCCCTTGCTCTGTTCGTTTCTTTGTACTGCGTCTTGTTCGTTTCCTTTGCTGCTAGGGTCCGTCCCAGTCGGATCGAAGCGTGGAGGAATACGCGAGGCAGCGAAATCGGTTGTCGACGTGTTTGCGCTGGCCTGACGCTGCGGTTGCGACAGCAATGTGGTCAAGTGCTCGATAAGTCAAGTGCTCGTGGCCCAAGGGGGGACAAAGGTTGTCGTCGGCGGTGTAATATGGGCGATGTCGTGGCTCGACTACAAAGTGTGTCCAATGCGTCACCCCGTTGCCGTCTGTGCCTTGATCAGACACTCCAATCTGATCAGAGACGAGGCCTTCTCGCTTGCTGGTGGGCTATTCTGGCTGCAGTGGAGGAGGAGAGTGGGAGAGGAGGACGCCGTGGGCAGTTCTAGGCGTGCCGTAGGCAAGGGAGACTCCAATGGTGGAAAAATGGGGGCGTTCGACGCAGCTGCAGCGTCTGGGGGCGCTTGACGATGCTTGGACCAAGCCGATGCTGCGGAGTAGCCAGTACCGCGGAGCAACGCTGCTGGGACTCGCAGTGAACAAGTACCTGTGACACGGCATGGCCTGAACAGCAGAAACAGCTGCAACGCTGCGAGGGCCTACAGGGACCTTTTGGGTCGCCAAGGCTCTGCTCATCACAGCCTGTGCTGCGAGTGGTTGGGCGCTGCTAAACGAGCCACCATTGTCTTCCCCTAAAGCCCCGTCAAGCCCCCCGGGGCCTTAGCACTGGTCTAGCGCTGGCACCGAGCTCTAGCGCACCTGGCGGCTGCCCTTTAGGCCAGGTCCTGGCGTTGCTGGGCCCAACTTGGCAGCTAAAGCAGGAACGGGCTCGCTGAGTGGACGGAGTGGGACCTCGGGTGATCCCACTCTGGAGCTCTGCGCCGCGTGATTGGCGGCCGGGCTGCCTTTGACAGGGAACCTCCCTGTTTAGGCAAGCTGACGGTGACTGAGACAAACAGAACAAACTCGTTGCTGCGACATCACTTTTGCTCGTATACCCTGGCTAGTCTCATGTCTTTTTCCAGCAACTGGTATGGAATACAGTACAGCAGCAGCAGTATGATTACACAAAAAATTTCGTTTATTTACCACAGGCGGTACAGATGCGGCACTAGCATCGTAATGTTCTGTAACCAGCATCATGTATGTATGAAACGCACCCGTGCTGAAGAAAACTTTTTGCCACTGGAATGCAGTAAGCACCTTAGCATGCGCTATAGAGTTCTATATTTGTTGCTACTCGTATACGTGCATCTGCTAACGAAGCGGCTTCGCATGGCTGATGCTATCTGCAGCGCAGCCAATCGATACGTTCTTCAGACATGCCCAGTGGCAGATCGGTTAGCTACGTGGCGCTGCATGTCAACGTGTGGCTCGTAAACGACCCAGAGTCCAACAGCTGCATCGCTTCAAGTACCTGCTAAGCTGCGACGCATTATGCCTGCTAATACACATCTTCCAGACTCTTCTATCTATCCCGTTTCATCCTTCTTTCATGCTTCTCTTTTCTTTCTTTTTTTTTTACTCTCCATGATGAGGCATTCTCCATCTTTAAAAGTAAAATCAGGCCACTTTAGCGAACCAATAGAAACTTTGGCGCATCCTCACTCATTCTTGACTACTGCCCCGTGGTCAGATTCTACATGAGAATCCCGGTCCTCTTTCAAATCCGAGGCCTAAAGCACAGGGCATGTTCATGCGCATCGCATCGCGGCATCCACAGTAGCTCCATGCTAGCACTAAAATGCATTGAACGTAGCTCGTCATCCAGAGCTGCACCATAATACATACTTGTAAATGGCGGCTCTGCGGAGCTTCGATACATATTAAAATGGCAATCGTACTCACAGCCTGCGCATGTAGTCTGTGTTCTATATTTAAATCAGGCAGGGTGGTATTGTCTGTCTTGCAAATGTCCTTTAAAATTTCAATAAATCCAACCAACACGCAAAGACGCCCTCCGATAAGCTGCAAGTAAAAGTGCCCTTCAACTCCACCACCCTATGAGAGGCGGCCAAAAGGTTTATTAGTGTGAGTCTTGCGTTACGGTTAAATTACTTGAAAATCCAGGCGGGTCTCTCCCGTACCCGTCCGACAAGGAAGTAGGTTGGCGGCCTTGGTTTTTTAAAATTGCGCTCTCGCTTCCGTGTCACTCGCGCTTGATCGATGACCGGCTCATGAGATCGTCGGAACAAATCACCCTGTTTGTTTTACGCGTTTCCAACAGCCGCTGCCAGCACGCGAAATCTTGCGTGAATGGGACAAGCTACCAATACGCAGGCGGGGCACAAACAAGTCCGACATCACTAACAGAGGGAGGGACGCTGCCCTGCTTCGTTCCCTGGTATTGACAAGGCAATTCTGCCCTGTAGCAAACAGATGAAGCTGATCCACCGTGAAAATATTTTCTATAAGGCCCATCTCGTCTTATCTCATCGACCTAGCATCGGAGTTTGCCAGGTCGTATGCAGAAGGAAGCTGGCTATTACACTAAGGGTTAGCCATGCAAGTTAACAAACAGCACCATCCGGAACACATCTTCCGTTTTTCTAGGCACTTTATTTACACGGAGTATTGAATATCTTTCTTGTCTTGCCAGAAATGTATAATCAGCCTAGATTCGTCCCACTATGTAAAAAAAAGAAAAGGGAGGGAAAAACAAAAAAAAAAAAAATAGAAGTAAAGAAAGCTACGCCCAACAAAAAGAGTATGCTTGCTCTCGGCAGGGCTTGAACCTGCGGCCTCCGCATCACCAAGATTTCAGCTAAAGCTGAAGTATTAGTACGAAGCTCTAACCAACTGAGCTACGAGAGCAGTCTGGATCCACTTTTATAACTAACGTCATAGGCTGGAATTCTTGTTTAAAATAATGCAACAGAAAGCTTAAGAATCTACCCTCTGCATCAGGCAGGATTAAACTGCCAACAAGTACTTCGACGAGCTGCATATAGTAAATATCTTAACTTAATTAAAATCTACTAAGACAAGAAGAGGAGAGAAAAAAAAAGGATAAAAAAATCAGCAAAAAAGGAACCACCTCTGAAGAGGTGTGGCGGATCTCTCCCGCCGGGAATTGAACCCGGGTCTCAAGCGTGACAAGCTTGCATACTGACCACTATACTACGGAAGATGTACCAGGCGTTGAGCACCTGGGGTAGCGGATCACGTGTTAGACTGAGGCCAATTTAATCACCATAAAGGCTACAGCTATCTATAGCCTAGATACCATTTACAAAATAAACCGTGCTAAAACTTGGAAATGAGCAAATTAAAGTATGCAAGGTCAATAGAAGAAAAGGAGACTCCCGGGTTCCATACAACCCATTATCCTTATAAATATTAATTACAATAGCTATTACTATCCAGAAATAAGACCGACTTCTATTACTGGCCTTTTTTTATTGTATAATATCTCTTAATTCTCATGTAACTACACATATATAGTTCAGATGACAGTTCCAGGGTAGGCTAATTAATCCACAGCCTGTGTAGAGCCCGAATTCACCAGCACGTTAAGGAATTGGGTCGACTGCTGCAGAAACACGCGGGGTGGGTAATCCCTCTGCAGGTCCCCCGAGTACATGCGATGCTTTAGACCATGCATTTGCTCGCAGATAAAGCTAGATTAGGTGAAGGAAGATTAGAGTGCTAGCAACGAGTGTTTAGTAGGTACTAGATGTGTAGTATTTTGGCTGGGCGAATATTTCACACAGGTGTAAGTACATGTAGCTCCGTGAAAAGAGTACATGTATATTGTAATGACGAATTGGCGTGTATACATGTATTTAGGACTGTGTCAAGTCGAAACTGGACAGAGGTCGGGGTGCAATTCAGCACAATCTCACAAAAGGTCCGATTATCCCTTGAACTAAACGAAGATTCAGTCTCTGAAGCCGTTCAATTCTATATCGATTATAAAACGATGCACTTGGCGGAGCGTACACGGCTAGACGAAGGGACAGTATGAATAGTTTGAGACTATTTGGCTGAGAATGCGAGAGGGACGTTTTTGTGGGTGGCTTTAGTAGGTAGAGAATTAATGAAGTTGGCAGTGCGCAAGCGACACGTGTTGAAGAATTTTGCCGAATTCCCTCCTTAACTTGGGCCCTTTTACGACAGGATGATGAATCAGATTCGCGAATCAGAAGACCCTGATATTTGCAAAATGATTCTTGGCCTGGTTGCTATTGTTTACTGGCCCATCTCCTTAGAAGAACTGGCATCTATCTTGGATATTCCGAATAATCTCAATGACAAAGATCTTGAGGAACTGGTTGTCGCGTGTGGATCTTTCTTGGTTCTGAGAAAAGTTGTGATGCTGTTTGTTCATCAGTCTACAGGATTTCTTGCTTAAAGACAAAAAGCTCGCCTTTGAGCCTGGGAGCCAGCATTATGCAGTTCTCTGCAGATCTTTGGAAATTATTGAATTGGTTAGAAGCTCTTAGCTTAATGGAGAGAATGACAGATGCTATAAGGACTGTTAGCATTGTAAAGGAACTAGTAAGTGTTCCTCCTTCCTCCACAACTTAGACTTGAGATTCGTTAATTTCCAGGTTAAAAATGGCGGAGGTATAATTTGTGACTTTGTTGAAGACCTATACCGCTTTGTTTTCTCTCTCACGGCTGGAATAGAGCTGGCACCTCTGCAAGTCTACAGCTCTACACTTTTTTTTAAGCCCAGTCTCCAGCATTGTAAGGCAAATGTACGAGGAGACTGAAGGGCCAAAGTGGGTTACTACAAAGTCGGAGATGTTGGATGAGTGGATCGCTTACTTCCAACCCTTCGAAGGTCATAAAGAACCAGTTAGAGCTTTGGCGTTTTCGCCAGACGGGGAACACTTAGTGTCTTGGTCAGAAGATGCGACAGGAAAGCTCTGGGATCTGGAGTCAGGTGCGTGTTTACATACATTCGTGAGTGACGAACAAGCAGCTTACAAGGTAGCCTATTCACCCAACGGCAAGCATTTGGCCTCTGGATCATCTTAAAAAGTTCAGATCTGGGATTTGACAACATTAAGCTATCTATACATATTTTATGCCTACAGGAAGATGATATCGACGACGATCAATCCCCTTTATCACTCGCAATTTCATCAAATAGTGATCTTTTAGCGGCTGAATTAGGTCTTGAAGAGAGCATTCGGATTTGGAATTTGGCCACAAATACGCATCTGCAATGCATCTCCATCTCACAATTCAGGGCATATGAGGGAATTTTGGTGCTTTCGCTAGATAGTACCCGACTTGGAGCGATGCTGTACGATGGTATCATCCTCATCTACGAGATAAATACGGGCACGCTTGTTGAACTCCTCGACAACATTTATGACACAGGACATGGATTAAATACTGCGTAATACCAATTTAATTTGAAAATTTTGATGCTTAAATCATTGAATAGACAGAGCCAAGATCCAAACTACAGATTGAAGTTATCCAGATTTGATAGGAGTCGAGACAAAGCGTGGATTCTCCATGGGCAGGATCGGGTGCTATGGCTTCCTCCAGAGTACCGCCCCATCGCAACGGCAGTGTATGATGACCTTGTTGTTATTTGGCCTGGATATGGTCGAGTATTATGTCTCCAATTCGATATGGGCGAGATGGACAAGGAGCTTGCAGTGAATGCTGTCGCCATGGTATGGCGGCTATCGTTGTTTGCAAGGTATGTGTGAGCATTTTTCTTCTATTGGAAGAGTGGAAAAGTGGAAGAGGAGCGCCTTAAAGACAAGAACAAATATAGCAATTATTATGCGTGTTGATTATTTATTTATTCAGTTTATATATATATATGCACGTCCATGGCTGCTGTGGACGATCTGCCCGAGCCACCAGTTCCGGACCTCTTCCGGGATCGTGATTCGGACCCGACCCGGAGTAGGATCGTGAGCTACGGCGTTCTGACCTCCACTAATAAGCTAGGACCGGGACCGACATCTAAACAAAGACAAGGGCTTGAGGTATTCCACTATGCGGCCCGACGCGAGCGTTCTACGCGATGATTTAGATGTATGTACACGCATGCGCTGGATGCGTGCATGCGTTTGACATCTCATCCTTTTATTGCTGTTATAGTCGATGCTTGGAGCAGCGACCCTTGGAAGCTCTTATACTAAACCCGGCGGCTACTGAAGAAAAACGAGCCGACTACATACCTATATAACCATTATAAATTATAAGGCGAACACAATCTGCCTCTCGTGTCCCCGCACTGGCCTGCTTTGCCGCAATCGCTGCTATTGGGCGGTCTGATGCCGGTGAGGATATGCGGAGTTCTGACAAACCAGCCGAGGACAGCGCTTCGCCCGCCTAATGTGAGAAGATCTGCGCAGGAACCTTGGTCAGAGCCGTCGTCTGACGTCGGGGTCCCCCCACAGCTGAGATTGGATAGATTTCAATGTTTGCATGTGAGTTGCTTGCCCAGACGGCCGGCGTGGCTCAGGCGCCGTTAGGTGCTGACGATCACTGGGGGCGGGATGATGTTGAGAGCGCCAATAATACGAAGCGTGGGCAAATAAGGAGACGGGAGAATGGCAGGTGATGAAGCTTGGCTGTGGAACGCATTGGTAGGTTTTGTGCTTTATTTTTTTATGCGCTGCGTGCTCGCACCTCTATGCATCTAGATTCTTTGATGGCGGGTCTCAATTTGGAGATGTCGAAATGCAGATTCGTGTAGTCCATCTATGTTTACAGTGACTGCACATCAAGCCCAGGCGTCGTCGCGCAGTGGTGAGACGCGGCATCCCCTGAGAGGCGCATTATCTGCGGATCTAACGGGTGCGAGGCGCTGTAGATTAGGGAGGTCGCCATCTCGGGCTTCCCTGAGCCGCTCGCAATCAATACAACTGGACTTGGCGATCAGTCCGTCCATCAGCTTTTCCCTTCTCCCATTCTTTCTCCCTCTTTCAACCTCCCGCTCTCTTCTTCGAAACGACGCCCAACCCGCCGCCGTTTATTTCCCGCTCTTTACGTGTGATCTGCCTGCCAATTGATCGCCTCTTATTCAGCACGAAGCCACGCCACACTGCACGCGCCACCACTTTGACGGCTTTTGCGTCCAAGTTTTCCCTCTCTCTTCTCCCATCTCCACCTTTTCGCTGTCTTCGTCTTCCTAGGCCCTCTCTGGTCCTGTTTCGTCTTGCCTTCGTGTCTCTCCTGCCCTCGCTGCCGAGACTGATGTTAAGACCTTTTTTCTTCAGCCATCCAATCCAGGCCCCTTGTCTGCTCGCCAAAGACTTCTGTCCTGCCAGCTCCTCAAAAAGAAAAGGCACCCCTCCCTCTGCAGAAGCGCCCTCGCATTTCGCTCCATCGTGGTGCATTCGCTCGCAACTCCACCCGCACTACTCCCGTCCAGCCGGCCTAAAACGGCCCCCCAGTGACGTATCGTGAGGCTCGTGGACCACGGCTTTGGGGTCATCTGCGTCGTCCAGCCTGGACGCATCGCCGCATCGCCGGACCGGAGCTGTACATGCACCGAGACATTGTCGCGCCTCAATCTCTGCCGCCTTTTTGGCCGTACCTCTGCCACGCTGATCTTGTACCTCTGCCGGTCTCCCCAGCGCCGAGCTGCCAAGGTATTCCCAGGTTTCGCGCTGCTCGACTCGGCCCCAGCAAGGCAGGTCCTGTCTCTGATCTAGGCTGTCTTTGTCACCCGACCACCGACAATAACCTCATCTGCTCCCTGCGAGGTTGCTTCTCTCTCCGCCCGTGAGATCCGTCGCGCCCACCCCGGCGTCGTAAATTCAAGAGTCTGCAGGCGGGTGCTGCTGCTGATCAGCCCCATAACCACCCAACATTCCTCCCCAAAAGTCAGCTCGCCTCCCTTCCAACATCCCTCTCCGGACGCTGCCTTCACGCTCCCACGCCGACCAAGACTTCGACCAAGACTCACCATCGGCGTCCCTCCTATCTGCCAGGGGATACGGCGCCCCTCATCAGCTTCGCCCGTCGTCCGAGTCCGAGACATCGTCGTCGTGGACCGACACTGGCGACATTGGCGACCAGTTCGGCGACGAGCACGACCCGGTCCGCATCCAGCTCCCGGAAGACATTGAGAACGAGCTGCTTGCCGGAGTCCAGCGCCGACAGCTGAACCCGCTCTACAAGTCGCACAAGAAGGTCCGGATTCACGACCCGTCACCGCATCGGCGCAACCACTCCTTCTCGCCCTCTCCCGGCATCGACAAAGAGGCCATTGAGCCCCCCGACGCCCGTCCTCGACCACCGAATCGAGCGGAACGCTGCATCGGCGCCATCATGGCGGGATCCTCAGGCTCTATCCATGGCCTTACAGGCAAGGCTTTGCTGTACGACTCATCTATATCCCTTGTCTTAGCTACGCCTTCACAATGGGAGTTTTGGATTTTCTAACTTTGTTTTTTTTTGCAATAGGTATTTCACAAGTATATTCGTTTCACTAGGCGTTTTCCTTTTTGGATATGATCAGGGTGTCATGTCGGGTATCATCACGTAAGTTTCCATTCTCTCCATGTGCCTCGCAGCAAATCGGTGCACACGATTAACATGCTCTCTCAGCGGCCCATATTTCATCGACTACTTTAACCACCCGTCGAAAGCCGAGGTCGGAACAATGGTTGCTATTCTCGAAATAGGAGCTTTTATTTCATCTCTTATTGTTGGCCGTGTTGGTGACATCATCGGCCGGCGACGAACTATTTTGTATGGTTCTTGCATTTTCTTCGTCGGAGGAGCGTTGCAGACGCTCGCCACATCCATGGTGATGATGATGGTTGGCCGAATTGTCGCTGGTCTTGGCGTCGGCATGCTTTCTACCATTGTGCCTGTCTATCAATCCGAGATTTCTCCACCTCATAATCGCGGTAAACTTGCCTGCATCGAATTTTCTGGCAATATCATCGGATATACAACTTCCGTATGGGTGGACTACGGCTGTGGGTTCATCGAGAGCAACTATTCATGGCGTATTCCTCTCATGATGCAATGCATCATGGGAGCTCTTTTGGGATTGGGAAGCTTGGTCATTGTGGAATCGCCCAGGTATGGAGCCACTGACCCTCATGATGCATATCCATGAAATACTAACCGTTATGTTCTTTAGATGGCTCCTAGATAATGATCACGATGAAGAAGGCATGGTTGTCATTGCTAACCTTTATGGCGGCGGCGATATTCATAATGCCAAGGCGCGCGACGAGTATCGCGAGATCAAAATGGATGTCCTTCTTCAGCGTCAAGAGGGCGAGCGGTCGTATTCTGACATGTTCCGCCGGTATCGCACTCGAGTTTTTATCGCCATGTCTGCACAGGCCCTCGCGCAGCTTAACGGAATCAACGTCATTTCTTACTACGCCCCATATGTCTTTGAATCCGCTGGTTGGGTTGGCCACGACGCCGTTCTCATGACTGGCTTTAACGGTATCACGTATTTCCTTTCTACCATCCCGCCTTGGTATCTTGTGGATCGATGGGGTCGACGAATGATTCTTCTCACTGGCGCCGTGTTCATGGCCATTTCACTGTCTCTCATCTCCTACTTCCTTTACCTTGATGTCAAATGGACTCCTAGGCTGGTCGTTCTGTTTGTCATGATATACAATGCTGCCTTTGGCTACTCATGGGGACCAGTCCCTTGGCTCTACCCTCCTGAAATCCTACCTCTTAGCATTCGCTCCAAGGGTGCCAGCTTGTCGACTGCTACGAACTGGGCCTTCAACTGGCTTGTGGGAGAAATGACACCAATTCTGCAAGAGTGGATCAAATGGCGCTTGTATCTCGTCCATGCCTTCTTTTGTGTTGCTAGTTTTGTAATTGGTGAGTTGCTCGTATTGATTATGACTCCTATGTCCTTCCTTACGCCCTTGACTGATTCCTAACCTCATCTGTTTAGTTTACTTTGTCTACCCAGAGACTTGTGGTGTCCGCCTCGAAGAGATGGACTCGCTATTCGGGGATGCTAGCACTGTAGCCACTCCATCTATCCATGCAGAAACCGGGTCACTCATCCGGGGTGGATCGCCTATTGGATCTAGCCGTACGCCATTTCGCTCAATTACTCCCATTCCAGGGCTCACTCTTGACCCTCCTGATGGTAGTGATAACAAACCCAGCGTCCAGAGTGGCGGCGATGACCGAAGCATCAGTGGGTGGTTATCAAGGGTCGTTAATCGCGGCCGTTCAGGCAGTCCGAGTAGTGGCCAAGGGCGATATACTCCAATCGGCCAGGAAGACGAGGGCCGCAATGACAATTAACCCTGGGGCCGTCCTATTCATTTTCCTTGGAGTATCTCTATAGATCTTTTTCTTTTTGTTTGAATTTTTCTTGGGCACATAGACAGCGGAGCGAAGCATGGCCGCCATGCTCGTCGTTCTATTAGGTACAGAACTCGGGCCTAGACTACTTGCCAGCATAAGATGGTTGGTTTTGGTATATAAGATGGACATTTGCTGCATAGATTACACCTACGTTGAGGAAGAGGGAAACAAGCATGACAGACTGCGGGATGAAGTGTAATCTCTTAAGCTGACTTGAAGAGGTTTCGAGAGCAGTGTAGACAAGACGTGGCTGTAGCGGCTGCTGTACTGAAACTACACTGTTATTGGTACGAAAACACTATTAGTATTATTGATGAATAATTCGTAACAGCGATATTTTGAGCAGTGCCTAAGCAATTGCTACTTCTTTTTGAATGTCTTTCTCCGGAGAACTAACAAGATGCGCAACATTAAATGTTGTCGAGATCCTGTCTTTAAGGTGCTCCGTGCATGGAGCGTTGAAAATACACAGTGTGAATATAGCATGGCGCTCAATTTTACCGGCCTTCGTATTTCAGATCATGTATTATACCCATTTTATGCACCTCCAGGTTCTTCATATCAGGCCTCATAGAAATAGAGCCATGAGGACTGGATACACCACAAAATCAATAAGCACGTCATGACAACCGCAGCACCCTCCAAGCTAGATATAACCCATGCTTACCGGCACCTCTACCGGGGTCTCCTCCGCGCGGTGCAGTACTCGGCGCCGGCGCGATACGTGGCGCGGGACCAGCTCCGGGCGGCCTTCCGAGAGCGCAATGCGGCTCTGGATCCGGAGGGCGTGAAGAGGACGGTGTGGTTCCTGGAGGCGGCGGCGAAGGAGAGGGGCCTGGAGCATAAGATTTTGAAGAATTTGATCAAGGTGCGGCTGGATCGGGCGTGGGGGACGAGGGCTTGGAAGAGGGCTCTGAATGAAACGAAGATGAAGTGAGTTTTTGGCCTTTTTCTTTTCATTTCGTTTCGATTTGGTTTCGCTTTGGTTTATTTGCCGTTTCCTGTGTCGTTGTGTATGAGGGTGAAGAGACGGGTTCATATGGCGGGATCTTGATATGAATGAGAGTTGATGCTAATGAGATTATAGGCCTGATGCGAGACAACTACGTGAAGATGCGATGCAACATTATAATATGACTGTTGCGATGCTGAATAAGAGCATGGGGCTGTGTTTACGATGAGCAGTGTTGGGAGTTTAGAGTCCTTCTTTTAGAGACAGGAAAGAGGAGGATTGATGACTTCGAAATCTTACATGAGCCAACGAATCCCACTTGGCCATTTTACAAATATTAAAACTGCCCTTAGGCCACAACTATTTTGACTTTGTTTAGTATTACAGAGTGGAAAACATCACGTTCTTCCTTTCTTTATCGCTGGCCAGCCTCTAATGTCGCATTCTCTGTTCCATATGCCCTATTAACTCCATACCCTCCGCTATCATCAGCTATGTGGTGGATTCTTTTCTCACAAGTCCACTTCAATCTCCTTATGTATAAGCTCGTCCAAGCTCGACCCATCTCGTGAGTATATCCATGTCCCCAATGCCGTGCCCTCCTTATCTCCCTGCCCCTCGCTGGCAACGCAGAAGTCGTATCGTTTGGGACCGGACAGAGGCGATGAGAGCCAGATCTGCTTGTTGGGGGGCTGCTTGTTGATAACGTAGGTGCCCTTATTGGCTACGGTAACGGTCATGACACCGGACTTTAGGTCGAATGGTTAGCAAAAGTTGATTAAAGCAAAGACCAGTCCTAGAGGAGGGAGGGGTGACTGAACTGAATATTCCACATCGATTGGAGAGCCGTCATCCTGGAGTGTTTCAAACTTCTCGAGGAGGTCATTCAGGTACTCATTCGACAGGTCGTGGTACTCCTCGTCAGAGAGTTCAGCGGCAACAAACGTTACCTGACTTCCGGTTGGCGCCTTGTCCGGGTTGGAAGTATCCGGCATGATGCCCTTGCGCAAGATCATTTGCGCCGAGAATTGCCGTCGCTGCGAAGAAACTGAGGGAGTGGCTGCGCGGGAGATGCTGGGAAGAGCGCGGAAGCTTGAGACCGCCATTCTGGGATTGCGCATAGCTCGGCCGAGCAGGCGAGGGGCCTGTCTTGAGATGCTTGATGATGCCATATTGGTGGTTGGTGGGGTGAGAGAAGACGCTGGTCTGGGTAGATTCCGAGGTCGAATGAGCGAAGAGTCAAATGCGCATTCGGAGATGTAAAAAGCCGCGATGCGCTATGGGATATAAGATAGGTTCTAGCTGGTCAATTGCTTCGCAGGAGTGGCGGACTATGCGAGGAAACAAGAGAGAAGAGGTGTTGAAGAAGCTTTGAGCTCTAAGATCTTTTTGGGTGATAGGAAGCCAATTGGAACAAGCTGAAAAGGTTCGTCATAGCATGTTCCCCATACTTGTGGCTCGGCATCTGCCCTGCAGCCAGGACTTGGAGGTACCTTGATGCCCCATGTAATGAGCTGGGCGTCTAAGTAGAGCTGAGTTCTTTTTGCTTAGTCACGTCCTTTCGGCAACGTCACTTGGAGCTCGTAGAACGCCGTCCGTCACCTGCATCGGCCCCACCAAGCACTCTCTTCCATCACCATCTCGCCAACGGGTCTCTGGACGATGATGAGACTCGTTCCGCGGCCATGATTAACGCATTTTTGGTCTTCAATGGCCAGGGCCAGCCTCGGCTTACCAAGTTCTACACCCAGCTGGTGCGTTGCGACCACATCGCTCATGCAAAGCCCGAGACAAACCACTGACTCAGCATCGTCTTATCGCAGGACACCAGCATTCAGCAGCGCCTGATATCGGAGATATTCACACTCGTGTCGAATCGACCCTCAGGCTCTTGCAACTTTCTGCCTCTCCCTCCTCTCCTCGCCGCTTCTAGCACATCGCACAGCTCGACCGAAGAGCAGAATGATGTCCCCTCGCTGGTGACATACCGCAATTACGCTACCCTCTACTTCATCATCATCTCTACAGCCACAGAATCACCCCTTGCTTTGATCGACTTAATACAAGTGTATGTCGAGGCGCTCGATAAGTTGTTTGAAAATGTCTGCGAGCTTGATCTCATTTTCAACTTCGAAACGCTCCATGCGACCTTGTCGGAAATGATTATAGGAGGGGTTGTGATAGAGACGAGTCTAGATCGTATTGTTTCTGGTGTCAGAGCCCAGGGAACAGTCGCTAAACGGCCGGTAAATGAGGGACGAAGCACTATTGGATCAGGAATGGGTCTTGGGGGCAACTTTGCATGGGCAGGACGGGTATAATAATGATATTGCGGCCTTGAGCTGAGCACAAAGAGATGAGTCGGATAGAACTATAACGAGCATATGCATGCATTCCTTTGTCTTTTCCCTTAGCCCAAGATGGGTATCACGCCAAAAACGCCTTAGATATATACAAATCCTATATTACACACACATAGAGTGGCAGACATTATCTTACAACTCATTTCGAATCTGAGTTTCGTGACGGGTTTACTTCCGGTGCATCTTTCCGGCGCTCATATCGCTTTTCGGGATCCAACACGCCGAAGAGATTGATGGCATGTTTCCGCAGCTAAGGATTCTTGTAAGTGAACTGCAAATGAATCTGTGTATTAAACCAATGACACACCTCTTCAGATGGCTTATACTTTTGCCCCCACCACTCAAACTCAGAGTAGAATATAAGCCATACCATCGCAGCTGTCTGCAGAGTTAGCACCATGCCTGTTGACCACACTCATTAGGTGTAAAACATAAACTGACCAGCCATTGTGGCAAGCTGCGCATACTTGACGCCCTTCTCCCATCTTGGAGATCGGCTTGCAAGGGCAACACGACGCTTGTACTTCTTCTCAAATCGGAGTTGTTGCTGATGAGTCAACTCTTTGAAGTCAGGTGGCCATACTTTTCGAGCCTTGTAAGGATTATTCGCGATAGTCAGGGGAATCTTTGTAGTCAGAGGCTCCTTCGCCGATTGAACTGCTCGTCTGATTAGGGTTGGAAACATTATCAAATGATATGCTTCCGCAAATATGACTCTTGTGCTAACAATATCGGAGATGTTTGGGATACCAGAGCGATGAATGACGCCGTTTTTGAAGCTAGCAAAAGCTGCGTAGGTACTGCAGCCAATGCCTACAGAAGCTGGGCAGCCACTGCACCGCCACTGCACCGCGCCACAGTCCCTGTCAGAAAAAAAGTTGCCCCGCGATAGGTACTTTTTCCACCCCTCCGAATCTGAGCCCCCGCCAAATTATCCTGCCTGCTGCAAGTGAGTCAAACCCACGGAGAATATACAAGATCGTATCTTCTCTGTGCGAGTGAGTCAAAAAGGGGGCAGACCTACGGGAAGTCACATAAAGACAGCCAATTCTCCCGGGGCTATTCTTTTCTACCCCAAGAAGACTTCGATTTTTTATCTTGTCACCAAGAAGAATTTCAATATGGCGACGGCTTCTGTGTCAAAGGCCCTGGAGGGCCTGACAGTCTCCAAGACCAAGGAATTGAAAGGAGTACGTGACTATACAATGCCGGCCATACTCTCCTGTTGATCGCATCTACTGACCATCACCAGACCGAGAAGCGCGACACCCTGGTTGTCGTCGAGAAGAAGTATCAGAAGAAATGGGCCGAGGACCGCGTTTTCGAGACGAATGCCCCGACGACAGCTGAGGTGCCCTTCCACTCCATCTCTCCGGCCGAGCTGCGAGAACAGCAACCCAAATTCTTCGGAACCATGGCTTATCCTTACATGAACGGAACCCTCCACGCCGGTCACACCTTCTCAGCCACCAAGGTCGAGTTTGCCGCGGGCACAGCGAGAATGCAGGGCAAGCGTGCGCTGTTCCCCATGGGTTTCCACTGCACTGGTATGCCCATCAAAGCCTGCGCGGATAAGCTGGTCAACGAGATTAAGCTGTTTGGCAAGGACTTCTCTGGTTACAAAGAGGAAGAGTCTGTTGTCGAGGAGCAGCCAAAGCCTGCTGCCAAGCAGACCAAGGAGGATGTTACCAAGTTCACCACCAACAAGAGCAAGGCCAATGCGAAGACCGTCAAGATGAAGTACCAGTTCCAGATTATGCAGGCCATTGGAATTCCTACCGAGGATATTCACCTGTTTGCTGATTCTCAATACTGGCTGCAGTACTTCCCTCCCTTGGCCATCCGGGATTTAACAAGCTTCGGCTCAAGAATCGACTGGCGACGATCATTTGTCACAACCGATGCTAACCCCTACTACGACGCCTTCATTCGATGGCAAATGAACCGCCTGAAGGAGCTGAACAAGATCAAGTTTGGCAAGCGATATACAATCTACTCTATCAAGGATGGCCAGCCGTGTATGGACCACGACCGTTCTGAGGGTGAAGCTGTTAACCCTCAGGAGTACACTGCCTTGAAGCTGAAGGTTTTGGAGTGGGCACCCAAGGCTGCTGAGGCCATCAAGGGCAAGATTCCCGATGGCGCCAACGTCTTCTTGGTTCCTGCTACCCTGAGACCCGAGACTATGTACGGACAAACCTGCTGTTTCGTCGGCCCCAAATTGAACTACGGCCTGTTCAAGGTTGATGACAACAACTACTTTGTCATCACTGAGCGAGCTGCTCGTAACATGGCTTACCAGGGCATTTTCGCCAAGGAAGGCTCCATCGAGAAGGCTGCTGACCTCTTAGGTTCCGACATTGTTGGAACTCTGGTCAACGCCCCTCTGTCGCTGCACAAGGAGGGAGTCAGGGTCCTGCCCATGGAAACCGTCCTGCCCACCAAGGGTACCGGTGTCGTCACCTCTGTTCCATCAGACAGCCCTGATGACTTCGCAACCGTGACTGAGCTGGCAAAGAAGGCTGATTATTACGGAATCAAGAAGGAGTGGGCCGAGCTGGAGATCTACCCCATTATTGAAACCCCGTCATACGGAGACCTGTGCGCACCCTTCTTGGTCAAGAAGCTGAAGATTGCTTCCCCCAAGGATACCAAGCAGCTGGAAGAGGCCAAAGAACTGGCATACAAGGAAGGTTTCTACCAGGGTATCATCAAGGTTGGCGACTTCAAGGGCGAGAAGGTTGAGACGGCCAAGCCCAAGGTCAGGGCTCAGTTGATCGAGGCTGGTGAGGCTTTTGCCTACTCAGAACCCGAGCGCAAGGTTGTCAGCCGATCTGGCGATGACTGTATCGTCTCACTGATGGACCAGTGGTACCTGGACTATGGCGAGCAGTCCTGGAAGGAGACTGCCCTGAAATGGGTTGACAATGCCGACGGAAAGGGTTTGGAGACTTGGGCTCCCGAGACCAAGAATGGCTTTGAAGGTGTGCTGAACTGGCTGAACCAGTGGGCCTGCGCCCGATCATTCGGTCTGGGATCAAAATTGCCTTGGGACAAGCAATTCCTGGTTGAGAGTTTGAGTGACTCGACCATCTACATGGCTTACTACACCATTGCCCACTTCCTGCACAAGGACTTGTTTGGCCGCACCAAGGGCCTTGGCAACATTGGCGCTGAGCAGATGACTGACGAGGTCTGGGACGCCGTTTTCTGCCGCCGCGATATCACCGATGATGTTATCTCTAGCTCTGGCATTCCCCGAGAGACTTTGGAGAGCATGCGACGAGAATTCGAATACTTCTACCCTCTGGATCTGCGTAGTTCAGGAAAGGACCTGATCCCCAACCACTTGACATTCTTCCTGTACATCCACTTGGCTATCTTCCCACCGGAGTACTGGCCTCGTGGTGTCCGAGCCAACGGTCACTTGATGCTGAACGGAGAAAAGATGGCCAAGAGTACTGGCAACTTCATGACTTTAAAAGAAATGGTGGAGAAATACGGCGCTGACGCTTCTCGTATTGCTCTGGCCGATGCCGGTGATGGTGTTAGCGATGCCAACTTCGAGGAAGATGTTGCCGACAATAACATTCTGCGTCTGTTCACTCTGCGTGAGTGGTGCGAGGAGATGGTCAAGGACCAGAACGAGCTGCGTACCGGCGAGATCAACAACTTCCAGGACGGCCTGTTCAACAATGAGTTGAATGCTTGTGCTAGAGAGGCTATTGAGCAGTACGGCTTGACTAACTACAAGTTGGCCCTGAAGGCCGGTCTGTATGAGCTGACCAGTGCTCGTGACTTTTACCGCGAGGCCTGTGCGGCCGGCGGTATCAAGATGCACAAGGACCTGGTATTCCGATACATTGAGCTGCAAGCCCTGCTGATGGCTGTCATCGCCCCTCACTGGTCTGAATACATCTGGTTGGAAGTCTTGAAGAAGGACTCCACTATCCACAATGCCAGGTTCCCTGAAGTGCCGGCCGTTGACGCTGCCCTGTCAGCTAAGCGAGAGTACGTCCGAAGCACCGCTTCGAACATTAACTCTGCTGAGGGCCAGCAGCTGAAGAAGAAGGCCAAGGGCAAGGAAGTTTCCTTTGACCCCAAGAAGCCCAAGAAGCTGACCATTTACATGGCTGCCAAATTCCCAACTTGGCAGGCTAAGTACATTGATCTGCTGAAGGAGATGTGGGACCCTGCGACCAAGTCTGTCGACGACAAGGCCCTGAACGGCAAGATTGGCAAGATGGGTGAGATGAAGAAGGCCATGCCCTTTGTTCAGGGTTTGAAGAAGCGCCTGCAGGCCGGTGAGCCTGCCAGCGTCGTCCTGGAGCAGAAGCTGGCTTTCGATGAGAAGGAGACCTTGGTCCAGATGGTGCCTGGCCTGAAGCGAACGTCAGGTCTGTCAGTCGCCGATATCCTGGTGGTTGAGGAAGGCGGTAAGAAGGGCGTTAGACTGGAGGACGGTAAGGAGGTGGAAATATCAGTCCCTGTTGCCGAGAATGCGGTCCCTGGTCAGCCTACTTTCTTCTTTGAAAATGTGGAGGCTTAAACGTGAGGAGCAGGGATTTTGCTCTTCTTCGGATGGATTTTTTTTTCTTATTTTGCTACGAAAGAAAGAATAAAGTAAAAAATGCTCTAGAGAGAGAGACAGTTTAGAGAGAATACAATGAATACCTATTCAGCAACCTTTTTGATTATACATGTTGTTTTACGTGCTTACGGCTTCTTGCGGTGTGAACACGCTCGGCTAACTTGTTTAATAACCGCCGATCATTAATTATGAGACCCATCAAGGTTGATATTACTGTCAACTACAGAGTGTTCAACGTTTGATAAGAGATAACGAGAAACCCCATTGTTTCACCGTACATCGTTCACCGTCTTTACAGTTGTTAATACGGTATACAGAACTTGCAAGTCAGCAGTAATCCACGATGGCAAATCCCCCAAAACGCCATCTTTCTAGAAACGCCGAACAATTAGTTCCCTGGGCTTTGTCAATAGTTCTTTCCCCCGCCCCCAAATAACGCCGTCGGCAATTGACCGCGCGTGTCGTGTGGAGGACGAAGCGTTCTCAGGAGGTGCCGCTTCATTCTTAAGCGACGCCACCCCTTTCTAACCCCCCCTTCTTCCCTAGTCAAAAGCTTATGCTTTGTCGAAAGAGGGAAAAACAGAGAAGGGGGAAACAATTATTTCGATCCATTTGCGTTAATACTACTCCGGAAAATGGATTTCCCCAATGGCTGTCGTTGCGCGAGGGCAACGCACTAGGAGCCTCGGTCTGTCTTTGCGGACTGAAGTCGTGCTTGTACAGTCTGGGTAGTCTCCGTGAGGCGTTACAGTGTTGCTGTGCCTGCATTGTGGGTTTCGTTCCTTTTAGCCATTTCTACTAATCCTATGCATATAGGACTCCGTAGGGTAACGGCTTTGTCAAAGACGTGCTCATCTTATGCGTTCTTCATATAATAAGCTTAAAAATGCGATCGGCAGCAAATCAAAAATTATTATTATTTGACCCGTCTCTTCTGTAATTCGGCGCCATTCGGCAGATTTCCTCTTCAGAGCACACAGCACTGTGTGTTCAACTCTGCCGAAACCTCGAGAGTGGGCAAAGCTTTGAGTCGTAGCAAATCCATTGTGGGTTGCACAACGCAGAGTAGGCTCCACAGCCGCGCAAAGCAGTGGTACGGCAGCCGATGCCTGTGCACACGTCTCAAAGTGTGATGAATCCTCTCTATTGTGTATGTATACTGTATGGTATTGCCTTGTCTCGGAGTGCGCCCCCATGTAGCCCGCTCTAAGAGACGGATCCATCACATTGTCCTAAGCCTTTCCGAGCATCCTGGCGGACATGGGATGGGCATGCTTGTACAAGCCTGTTTTGGCGTGGAAACAGAGAAACATCTCCCCACGGGCCAGTAGCTATTCTGCATTAACACATCTCCGCCGGCGGCTCAGGACGAACATTGCTGCTCGCTTGCCTGGCAAGCGAAGTGGTTGCAATTCCATGGCCCGCAGCGAAGGTGGTTCTTTTGCCGGTTCAGGGGCTAAGTCCAAGCGTCACTCGATGTGGACCACTTATAGATAGCACTAGTTTTTTTTCTCTTCTCATTTTTTTTTTCCCGCGTTGCCTTTCGCTAGATCTGTTGGGTTAGTTCTCCGTAGTGAGAGATTGGCTCTGCTCTGCTAGTATACCGCTTGTTGGTGGCAAGACGAAGCCTCTTTGCCCTCCTCCCGTCGGCGTGTCCTTGCGACAAGCTGGTTTGTCAAGCACGCGGCGAGATTTTTTTATGTGGCGGTATAGTTACTCTCACGCAGTAAAACCGTTTTGGCACTAATGCTGAGGCGGCAGTCGATCTTTTGTGTGCTCCGTCGAGTTTTATGACGCAACGAAATGAAGCCGCGCAGCCTCCTGCTTTCCCATTTGCGAATGGTCCAACTTGGAGGGCCAATTCATGACAAGGCCTTGGACGCCATTCGTCCACGCCGTCAGCTGGCCGCTCCTGGATGGATCGGCGATGGGTCGTCGACGCGCAACTAGCATGAAGCATCCTGGCCCCTGCGACATTAAGCAGCTAGACCAAGCCGCTTTTGGCGGCCAAATTGGAGCCTCGCTGGTCGCAATTCGCGGGTCTGGGTGTAATTAGGCAGTGGTAGCTCCTTGTCGCATACATGCAGTGCACGAGGTGGTATTATATGTCGCCTTGTCCGCGACGACCAAGAAGCAGCCTTCTCTCCACGATGCGCGAGCCCTCGTCCCATTTCTTCTAGTTAAAAGAGCGCGAGCCGCAGTCGCAGTTGTCTCTTGTCACAGTCGCTTGGTTGAGCAATCGCTTCGCCCTTGTGTTGTATGGCTCTGTCGGCGTTATAGTCCTTGCTTCGCTTTTTCTTTGCCATCAGCCTGGTGCTGTCTGTTGCAAGCTCGGGTCCCATTTTGTGTCTCCGCATACCTGTACATTTTGCCAAGATTCGGCCTCCCGATCCCGAAAATCGATAACAATGCGCTCTTCACAATTATTTGTCCTTGCTACTGCTATAGCAACAGCAGCAGCAACCGTCTTCCCCGAAAGCGCCACAACTGTCGTCGGTGTATCGACAACACAGCATGTCTTTATCGGCACCGAGAGCGGACTTCCAAACACAGAGGATGCTACTCTTCCCGCCGTCTCAGCATCCATAACACCGTCGTCAGGCTGGACGAGCCCAGAAACGCAGACGGCGACAGAGAGCGGTTCTGACGACTCTTCTGCTTCTACCACCAGCGTTACGCGACCTGCCGGCTTTCCAAATGCAACCAGTAAGAAACAATTCTTGTCTCGAGTTGAGCTATCTCATGCTGACGTTGATGAAGCTACTTTGGCTAGCAGTCTGGTTCCTACAAAGTCGCAGAACACCACAACACCTACCAGCCACGTAACCGGTGGCGCTATTCCGCAACAGATGCAGAGCTCCATGGCTGGGCTGATAGGATTCTGCATAATGGGATTGATCATGTTATAGAAGAGGGCAGGAAAGGTGTTATGAATAATGACGCTGGACGATATGCGCGCCACATATAGATTTGTGTCCCAGGTAGGACACTGGCGTTTGAGAAAAACCAACAAAGATACCACGGACCATGGAGTCCACCCACCTTTAGACGGACAAGAGTATAAACCGATAATAGAGTAATTGTAATTGACAATTTCACACACAACTATACACGCTGATCTAAGCGGTAATTTTGCTGCATAGCAATTCAATCATCAACTGTTCAAGTGACTGGTAAAGAAAGCTTTTAGGAAAAGCTGTAGTGTTTATGCTTATAAAATCTGCCGAAATGTATATTCATGCCTGCAATAACGAGGATAGTATTCGAGTAGGATGACCGGCCACTGGTTCATCCAAAGCTCATTTCGAAAAGCTTAGAGGCATAAGCCGCAGCTCGTATAAGCCGAACTCTTTGTATCTCTGAGTGACCAATGTCATTTCTTTGGAAAAGCTCGCCTAGAAGATATTCATTCTTCCGCTAGTAGGTGGGATACTTGAGGCGACGTCACGGTGTGTCTAAAGATCGTCGTCTTTGTTGTAGACGTTACCGTATTCGACGTGGGGTGGTCTGTCGATCCGAAGAGCCTCACTAGGGCGACTATAACGGCGCCGGAGACGGCTGGGCACTGATCTCGCTCCTCTCGGCAGAGTACTCGACTCTTGCCTAGGAAAATTTGCAGATATGGCGATGAATCTAAGCAGCGACGGGGATCTGGCCTCCAGAGTTGCCGGTAGGAGGAGGCTTAGGTAGATCATCCTGGTATCACGTTAGCAGGTCGCTCGTCTTGAGTGATGCTTTTGCGGATTTCTGACAAGATCGAAGATGACTCTGATCATCAGGCTGCAGCTTGGGCACACAGCAATATCTTGTTCGTCGCGCAGGTCGTCGATGCCAATCGAGAAGCGGTCGCCGCAAGGGCATGGGTAGTGGTAGATTTGAAGAGCTTCGTCAAAGGTCATGTCTTCGATTTCGATCTCATCGTAAATGGTATATTCTTCGTCGGCCATCTTTGCGATCCTTTCTAGAGGCGTAGCTTACGCGGTGTCGATCGTGGTGCTGCTCTGTCTCGGACTCTATCGTGAAAGGAGCAAGTTTATCAGTTGTGACACTCGTTGCCACCCCGCGATAAAGAGTGAAGAGAAAAAAAAAAGATCAGACCCCACGAGTGTGGCTGATGCTTGACTTGTGCACTTCGGCTGTGGCTGGTGTCTGCAATCACATGCCGGGGTTATTCGCTTGGTTGCAGCTGTGGCGCTCGAGTCTGGGGAAGCAGTGCCGCATCTGCTCTTGCTAGGCCGAGGCCAGCGGACGCAACTCCACTCTCAGGCGCCTCGTCGTTATTTACAGGTACCAGCGTCACCTCTGCTCCGTAATACAGCTTTTGACATTTGATGTCATCACCGCCAGGCTGGGAATCCCTGCTGTGACGGTTGAAGCACACACAGCAAACCCGCAGCCTGGACCACGCAGCATATCCAGCTAATCATCACGACGTTAGAAAGCATTGCGACAGCACAAGCCTGAGCATCTCTCACCCGCCATAACCGAGGCCGTGGCGATTCGAGGCCGACCAATGCGCTGCACCTTCGACTCTAGGTGATAGGCTGGGCACGAGCTTTTCCTGGCTGGCGTCGACGAGAACAAGAACAGCCCTCGACGCAGAACCTCCTCCACAGCCATGGCCTGGCAGTCGAAACTCGCCCTGTCCAAGGACCGGTCCCTTCGCGGCATCATCGCCCACCTCACTGGGCTGTACGTCAAGCACCGAACGCGCATCTCGCGTGCCATCTGGATCTCCCTCTTTGTCGCCCTCGCCAATCGCATCCGCCATGCCATCTCAGAGCAAAAGGCTGCCTCTGCGCGCGAGGCGGCTCAACGGGCTGCTCGCCAGGCGACTGTAACCGCCGGGACCGAGGAATCACCCAGGAAGAAGGTTGCTCTCAACCGCGAATTCTTCAGGTCCTTGATGCGCTTGACGAAGATCGTGGTACCCGGCTGGCGCAGCAAAGAGGCGAGGATGCTGGCCAGCCACAGCTTCTTCTTGGTCCTGAGGACTTTGATCAGCGTTCGTGTTGCAGAAATGGACGGTGCTATCGTCAAGGCCTTGGTCAAGGGAAACGGCAAGGAATTCTTGAAGCGCATTGTTTGGTGGATGCTGATCGCTGTCCCCGCAACCTTCACAAACTCGATGGTAATGAACTGCCTTTTCGCCTACCTTGGAATCGAGGCCAGAGCTAACTAGAATCCCTCTTTGCAGCTTTCCTATCACCAAGCCGAGCTCTCTCTGCAATACCGGACGAGATTAACGCAGCACATACACGACAAATACTTATCCAAATTGACCTTCTACGGGATCTCGGCACTCGATGATCGGATAAAGAACCCGGATCAACTGATTGCTGTCGATGTATCAAAATTCTCCAATAGTCTAGCCGAGCTGTACAGCAATCTTGCCAAGCCAGCACTCGACATGGTTTGTTATATCACTCCTACTCCTCTTACTGATCTAAATTAGCAAGTGCACATATCTAATTTTTTTCCCCCTTACTAGACCATTTACACATACACTCTATCTAAGAGCGTTGGAAGCGAAGGGGTCATCTTTATGACGTTATTGGTTCAGCTCTCGGCAAACCTGATGCGCGTCTTGACACCACCCTTTGGCAAGTATGTCGCCGATGAAGCTCGCTTGGAAGGAGAATTCCGCTTCCAGCATTCTCGCTTGATCGATTATAGCGAGGAAATTGCCCTATATGGCGGTCATACCGCAGAAAAGGACACATTAGACAAGGGCTACTTTACTCTTATCAAGCATGTGAATTACATCCTTCGACGACGCTTCTACCATGGCTTCATGGAAGATTTTGTCATCAAATACTTTTGGGGTGCTTTGGGTCTGCTGCTTTGCAGTGTCCCCGTCTTTGTCAAGCTTCCCGGCCAGATTGTCATGAACATGGGAGATAGAACTGAGGCTTTTGTGACGAACCGTCGTATGCTCCTTTCTGCATCTGATGCCTTTGGCAGAATCATGTTCTCTTACAGAGAAATCATGGAGCTGGCTGGATATACCTCCAGAGTTGCCACCCTGCTCAACGTCATGGACGACATTCAGATGGGCCACTTCGAGAAGAAGCTTGTCTCTTCCTCCGGGACGGAGGACAACGAGGCAGTTCTCAAGGGCCGCGGCACGGTCCATGAAAGCAAGGATTACATTAAATTCGAGGATGTGTAAGTCAGAGCCTTTCCCCCCCATATACCTTGACCGTAGCAACTAACAGAAAGTGCAACAGGCCTATCATCTCACCTAACGGCGATGTACTCGTCAAAGCGCTCTCATTCTCCCTCTCTCATGGTGACCACCTGCTCGTCGTCGGACCCAATGGCTGCGGGAAATCATCATTGTTCCGCATTCTTGGAGGCCTATGGCCTGTCTACGGAGGCACTGTTTATAAACCTCCTTTTACTTCCATCTTCTATCTTCCCCAGCGTCCCTACCTATCCCGAGGCTCCCTTCGTCAGCAAATCATCTATCCCGACTCTCTGCGCCAGATGCGCTCCAAGGGTGTCAACGATTCCGACCTCTTCTCCATTCTCAATACCCTTGGTCTGGAGCATCTCGTCGAACTCTACCCCGAAGGCTGGGATGCCGAAGCCGAATGGCGCGATGTCCTTTCCGGTGGCCTCCAGCAGCGTGTCGCCATGGCGCGCTTGTTCTACCACCGACCGCAGTACGCCATCCTCGACGAGTGCACTAGCAGCGTGACGCTTGAGACCGAGAAAGTCATGTACGAGAATGCCAAGTCTCTCGGCATCACGCTCCTCACTGTCAGCCATCGTCGCAGCTTGTGGAAGTACCACACGCATATTCTGCAATTTGACGGCCAGGGCAACTATGTCTTTACGAAGCTCGATGCTGAGAGGCGTTTGCGACTGGAGGATGAGAGGGAGGAGCTGGAGATGAAGCTGAGGCAGGTGCCCGAGTTAGAGAGGAGACTGGAGGAGTTAACTTCTCTTTGAGCGTGAGAACTTTTTCTTTTCTTTTCTTTTGGCTATACCATACATTGTGCTCTTTGAAGGAGGGGGATGTTGCTATATACTCTATACGTGAGATGTGTGTATGACTAGAACTTCGTGTAAGCAGATTATTGGGCTATTTAAACAATTAAAGCCTGTTTTTGCTTTTTGATAAACGACGTTGCTTTACTTTGACATCTAAAAAACTAGAACCGCAAATGCTGTGAACTACTGGGGGTATACATTTCTACTTGCTGCATCGAAGATATGACCAACCAATGATAATGAACAACTCCAAGAAAAATAATCCTACTATTCATAGTGCCTTTGAACAACTATTCTTCTTCGTCAATTTCGTCACTCTCCTTGCCTTCAACACCATCCAAATCCTTTAGTTGATTTGGGTGAAATTTGCAGGTATCTTTATGAATAGTATTGTCGTTCTCGAGAATACGCTTATGGTCGGCACCGCATTCATAGCAAAATTGATGTTTGCATTTGACGCCTGTCATGTCAACCAGTCAGTTACCAGCAATTATCCTTGGCAGTAAATGCTATGGGTATTGCTCCAAATATTGCCACAACCCCAGCAAAACTCGAAGCGACATTTGATACCTGCGGCGATCTTTTATTAGTGATTTTCTTCTTCTCGTGTTTATATAGCCGGTATTAATTAGAGTGAGAGAAAGGGGAGAGTTTCGATACAGAGGGGGGCGTGTGTTGCAAGTACGCACCCTAAGATTTGAAACAAAGGCAAAGAGAAAAGGAGGAATGAAGGAGAAGAAATGAAAAAAAAAAAAAAATCAAAAAATCAAGGGGCACCACTTACAAGTCATATGCGAGCTGTATAAGAACAGTTAGCAACCGTTCTTAGAGAACGATAAGTGGAATCAGTGTACGTACCATCCATCATTCTTTTCAATCGCCCATCCACATCCGGGGCAAGGCTTTGTCGTCCTCCCAACTGTTTCTCTGCTCATTTCTTCCTCAGCCTTCCTTCTTGCGGCAATCTGTCTCGCCAACTCGATTGCTTTCTGTGTCCTTTCCCTCTCTTGACGATCTCTCCTCTCCCTCATCTCTCTAGTCCTTCTTTCTTCTTCCAATAGACCCTGAGCCATAGCTCTGTCTGCTTCAAGCTGCTCCTTTTGGGAGGCTGCCCACGCTTCGTTATCAATTTCAAGCTTGGAACGAAAGTTGTCCGGGTCGGCAAGCAACTGATCGTACTCTTCGCACGTCAAACCCTGGTGCCATGCGACATTATGATGAAAGCACGATCGGTGACTACAGTGAAGGCAAATTACGATGGGTTGGTCACGGCCGGTGTCGTGTATCTGACCAGAGCCACAGCCAGATGTGCACCAAAAGAAGTTCTCAGCTTCAGCCATGGCGGCTCGGAGGGCAAGCGTTTCGTATCTAATCAGTTGCGTTAGGCTACATTTTGCTCCATCATAGAAGAGAGGTCGAGGTGAAATCGGGATATGTACCTCTTGAATGTCTCCACATCAGCGTAACGCTGGATGTCTGTATAATCTAGCAGCTCTCGACACTCAGGGCATCTAATATCTGTCCAAATCTTGCCTGTCAGATCAGAGCGGATAGACCTCTCCAGACACTCGAGGCATGCGTTAGGGGAATGCGTGCAAGACGCTGTTGGAGAAAACCGAGGAAAGAGGATTTCCTCTTTGGTGTCCGCACAAATCAAGCAATCGCGGTCACCGTCCTCACGGTCTGACGGAACACGCTGATGCGTAACTAGAACAGATGATGTTCCTGGATCGCTCTGGTATCGTTGCCCGAAACTAATCGATAGTAGTGTCAGCAAAATAGACTTACAGATTTGAGAAACTTGAAGATAAGTTGCTGAAAAAGAAATATATGTATGTCCCCGGAGGCTGTGTGCAAGGCGCAGGTAGAAAATCGGGAGAGTATTACATAGTAGCATAGTCGTAAAAAACAAGCCCTCTTTGGGCTTATATACGGCGTAAAGGGGGCTGGACGTACGAAAAGCCGTCGAAAGGGGCTATATTTCAGAAAACCTACCTGAAATCATCAGCTTCGTCATCTCCACGCCTGCCAGACAGATCTAGGCGGCGTTGATATGCTTCTGTCATGGCAGAGTCTTGCTGCTCGAGGAGGTCGACATACGGGTTCCCTGTCGCAGGCGTAGATGAACCGCTTGAAGCAGCCATCTTGCCTTGTTTGCGATTCTGTTGCAGAGATCCTTCTGCAACGGTCAAAAGATCCGTCGCATGATGCGTGTCAGCTGCGGCAGGCGGAGTGAACGCAGCGGAATCCTGATTTCTGGCCACAGAAACTGGATTTTTATCTTCTTCTGGGGTCGCAAAGTCGTCATCAAATAAAGCAAGGTTAATGCGATATCTGAACCCGGTTTGTGCATCAGCCATTGGGGCTGCCTCGGGTTCAGTGTGTATTGAGGGAGGTTGAAATTGATTCGTTCTTGGCAAAGAGACGCTTGTCCTGGCTTCTTCTTCCTCTACCTCCTCCTCTTCCTCATCTTCCTCGTCCTCCTTTTCCTCTTCCTGGTCCTCTTCATCTTCCTCTTCCTCATCTTCATCTTCCTTATAATCATATTCTTCATTTCCTTCTTCTTCTTCTTCTAGTTGCACAACTTCCTCTTCTTCCTCTCCTTCGCCTTCTGCCTCAGGCGTCTGTGCATTTTCAGCTTCTGGATCTGTCTCTTCATCATCTACTAGCCAGATCGAGTCGTCGTCGTCGTCCCCGAAGCCGCTCATGATGGCTGGATTCACCATGCCGTAGTGCGAAGAGCCGGGATATACAAACATGTTGCTCCTCATTGCTGATGTTTCCACATATGGGACAAATTTCTTTGGGGTATAGGAATCCATTTTGGGCTCTTCAGCAATCTCAACTTCTTGCGCGGGCGTTTCAGCTGGAATCTCTTTGGGCGCTACAGCTGGTATGTCGGCAATAATGGAACTAGCTATTGGTGTAATAACCGCTGGTATCTCAGCTGCCGGCGTATCAAATGCTGGTGTATGAACAGCGGTAGTGTGAGAGGCGGACGGGTCAGTGACAGTGACAACAATGTCGACAATAGTGTTATTGCTTTCTTGTTTCACCTCCGACGGCCGTTCTTCAACGCGCTTCAGCTCCTCCTCTTCTACCGCGGCTGTAGCTTGGAATGCAGTATTAATCGTCACCTCCGACTGTTCTTCTGTAGCAAACGACGGTGCGTATGAATCGTCTCGAATCGGCCAGCTAATGCTGGGAACTGACGCCACCGAGGAAACAGAGCTCTTGTCCTTTCGTTTGCGAAAAACAGCTCCCGTCTTTTTCCTGAGGGAGCGAAACATGCTCATATCGAAAGGTGTGAGTGTGCGAGTGTGTGTGTAATCCCGGTTAACCCCCTTGGGCCGGCTTATATGGCAGACATGTGCAGGGGACTGGAGGAGTGTGGCTGCTGGGCGCTTATACCGGCGATAGCACGCAGAATCGATCGAGAGGTGTTGGATGGAAGATGCAAAGATATGTTGGCAGCTATGGCGGAAGGGAGGGTTGACTGGGCGCAAAAATAGAAGATAGGGAAGAAGAAAAGAAGAAAAGAAGAAAAGAAGAAAAGAAGAAAAGAAGAAAAGAAGAAAAGAAGAAGCACATGCATCATTCTGACTTGCAGCAAAGGGGGAAAGGACGGGAGGGATGAGAGACAGGCTGCAGGTCCTTGCTCGCAGCCACTTCCAGGTGCCTCAGTGGGCAAACCAGCTGAGGCTGGGAGGCGCCTCGCGATGCACAGCGGAGACGGGCAAGCCCCAGCGCGTTGGTCTAGCTGCCTGCCATAGCGCTTCAGCAGGGCCGCCAGCGGTGCCAGCAGTGCGTTTTGCCGTGCGCGCCCAACCAGCAGAACAGAACTCAACGTGCCGAGCAGCGCCAAAGCAGCCTAGTGAGTGCCGCCACCAGTGGCCAACGCCTTGGATAAGCTTCAGTGTGCCTTGCTACGTGCAGGGGGTCGGTGCAATGGAGTGTGCCTAAGAGCCGGCTCTAGAGCTTCATCATCGAACTAGACACACCCTCCCCAGCCCATCGGCAAAGGCTTCGCAGGGCCGTCGCGAATCATATGATTTGTACTGTGGATGCGAGCCGTATTCAACGTGGCAGGCCAAGGACCGCCCAGCCGTGGACACATTGGTCAAGATGGGTGCGTGAGAGCTCCAATGAACGGGAATTATAAGCGGTGATAGCAACTGGTCAATCTATCCAAATCAGATCAAATACGTGGCTCTACAGCTGTCCTATTAATAAATGCTAAACACATGATTTGCTAATAGGTATGAAAAGATGCAGTAAAACCAAAAAGAGAGAGGAAAGGGTAAAAAAGACACACAGAGAGAGAAAGAGAGAGAGAGAGAGAGACCATGCAAACGCCCATAAGTATTGCCCCCTCCCCGCATACATGCCCAAACATGTACGACATGTGGTTTCACAGCATCCACGTTAATGATTCATTTTGTTTTGTTCCAAACCTCACATATCCGCGCCACGTTGGCACATCCCATCAGCTTAGCCAGCTCTCGCCTTTCTTCCGTGCCTTTGAGAGGCAGAGTATATGGACCAGCGACTCGTCGGCCCCCTCGGTGAATTTCTCCCTCTTTTCACCAGGGCCCCAGGCTACTAACACCTGCTGCTTGCGAACAACCGACGGTGCCTTGATAGCATCGCGCTGGCCGATTTGACGGATATACAGGGCAGGAACCACGGTACACACGTTGAGTAAATTGTCGTAAAGATCGGTCTTAGTAGGTCGAGGGTCCAGCTTGTTCATGTTGAAGGCCTTTCTGTTATGTAAGATGTTTTTGCAATCAAGATTCTCGACGCACTCGTAAAATTCTTGCGATGGCGCAATTTGGCTGCCGCTCCACGCAATGTAGGGCTGGATATCGAGATAGAAGTGGTGTGTGGATATCTGAAGCTTTTCGTAGAGCGCCATGGCCGGCCTGATGCAACGCTCCTCCGTGTTTTGGCAAAACCATTGGTACTTGTCCTTTTTGCAAAAGATGCGAAGCACATCTGCCAGGGTTATAGTCAGGTCTCTGCTGCGTCGAGCGCGAACACTCCGGAACTGTGGAGCGCTCATCAGAGCATTATAACTCTCGGCAGTCCATGTACGAACGGCAAACAAGTCTAGTTTGAATCATTGTTGTTAGATTAGTCTCGCCATTGGTCTTTGGAGATCAGAAGGCACATTACCTCTCTTAGGCTCAACAGCGGTCTGCATCTGTGTCTCGATAAAGCTCACCATCTCGGTATAAGTCGCCGCAGAGCCGTAGAGAACCTTTTGGAAGATGTGGTCGTTGAGAAATCGCATAATGATAGCGACGATTATGTCTTCATCGGTCTCCGGGAACATGCAGCCGTGGATTAAATCTGGGTACTTGTGCACAACCTTCTTAAATCTAGCAACTTCTCCAGAATTCTTCCGTGCGTGGGCGGCGAGAGCCTCAACGCCAGCCTCATAGTCGTCCAACCAAAAGCCCATGAATTTCTGAACCCAGTCTTGAACCGACTCAACCAGGTCATCATATTGCTGGATTATGAATATATATACGTTAGCAAGCCAAGAAATAAGGTCCCTACCCAAGACACCGAAGACTTACCCGTCCGACTTCCTCTGGGGTGAGGTCCTTACGATACGGCTGCAGACTGAAGATGTGCGACTGCGCATCGTTGAGCTCTTCTCTCAAAAGATTGTTCTCTTCTTTGAGCATTTTCATTTCTTTGCCAAGGGACTCCGTGTCCTTGGCAATTTCCTCCATGTCAGAGTTGAGCAGATGTTTCAAGTCTGCAATCTGCTGTCTGGCCTTGGTGGCCTCTCTCTCAGCGCTCTCCTTTTCGAGAGTGAGCCTAGTGATGGCATCTTGGAGTTGCCTGAGCTGCGCCTGTTCTCTGATCTCGTCTCGCGCTCCATCGCCATCAGCAAGGCGTCGCGGAGGCATAAAATCCTCGTTCTCCATGCTCTCCATGCTCTCCATGCCAGGGAATCCCTCAGCTGCTGCAGCATACACTGAACTAGTCATTTCAGCCAATTCAAAGTCGTCGTCGTCGTCAGAATGAGCTCCGTCGGGATATGGACCTGGCACGTGCAAAGTATATCTCCTCGTAGGAACAAGCTCTGGAGAAATGGACGCATCGGTGACTTCATCTTTTGCAAAATCGGCGATATCCACTTCGACAGGTGCCTCTTCGTGCTGCTCTCCGTCCTGCATAGCCTGGTCGGCATTCACATCCGTCTCTTTCTTTTGACCGTGGGCCTTTGCCTCGGTCTCAGCTTTATCAGCAGATTTAGTCGATTTCCTCTCCTTGCGCAGTACTGCGTGGCCGTTGGGTTGCCGGGCTCGCATGTCATCGAGGGGGATTGTTCCTTGCCCTTTGTCGGGAGACATGGTGTAATGTAGATTAAAAGAGGGCATATAGTACGAAGCACTGCCGCCTAATAACCCAACTGCCAAGGAACACAAGAGCGTGAGGGAAAATCGGAATACGTCCAAACTGGCCGCAAAGAGATGTATGTTTTTCATACAAATACGAAAATGCCCCTAGAGCTCAAGATTCGATGCCAGATCTGCTCTGCTCTGCTAGCCTGAACCAGAGCCCTGAGCCCGCGATGGTGGCGCTGGCGGCGTCAATATCCACTCGCTGAATGGCACAGCTCATAGCCTGGGGCTGAAGCGAGGCAGTCCATCCTTTCCCTGGCGGGCGCGCCTGGCTTGCCATTGCTGCAACAGGACACTGACATGGCACGGCATGGCATGGACACAAGAGATTGTCAATTCCACGCCCCCTCCCTCACGATGATGATGCCAGGGTCTGCGGCTAGCGGATTCAGCCTCAGTAGCTTGCCGTGGGAGAAAGAGGGGAACCTGTTCACGGCCCGTTTCGGAGGCTTTTGGCTTTTGGCTTTGGCTTTGAATTGAATTTGAATTTGATTTTTGACTCTGGAGGTACATGTACTGTTCTTACAAGTAGCTCCTACCAGGTACCGGCAGATGGCAAGTATCTCGTGTTTGGTCAAGCCAGGCACATGCAGCAGTATATTGTATTAGTAGACAGGCATTTGAAGAAGGCAGAGGCAAGCTGCGCATCTCGCTGTAAGACGACAAGCTCTATTAGTGGGGGTTTGAGGACATCTGTGGCTATAGCGGAAAGCGACATGTTTGGGCAGCAAATCCGTACCTATACACCTTGGTATATGTAGTAAAGGCACGGCTGTGTGCCTCCATGTAGACTCATACAGTAGCAGAACAGCTCAGCATTTTTCTGATTGATTGTACTTGACTCGTCGTATCTGAGACCCGCGAGCTTCCTCACAACTTACAGTAGGTACAAATAGGCGCTGCTTCGGCAAGGCACTCACTGCTTAAGCTTCGCCTCCATTTCATTTCAACGGTGCTTGTTTTCTCCCAATTCACAAGCGCCTATGCGTCCCAATGCAGTATCCCAGGCACTTATTCATGCTTGGTATTAGATATCTGAGCGTTTGCAACTCGTCTTTCGGCCCCCATTCAATTCAATCATTGCGCCCGATAGCGGTTATTGACCTGTCAGGCCATTCTGCGGAGTATTTATAGAGCTGGAGCTCAAAGCCCAAGCTTGAATCCACTAAATGCCTCCGCCCCAGCCACTGACAGCACCAGTCAAGGCACCCTGCGGCGCCTCATCCAGTGAACGGCCTCGCTGGACGGCGCTATCTCGCTGGCCAACGGCCACTATCTGCAGCCCCTCGTTTTTCTTCTAGAAGCACCCCCCTCCATCCCCGCTTCAACACTACATCTTGAATCCTCCTTGCTTCAGGACAAGGCAGACCCTCGCCTCATTTTCTCTGATTCGCGCCATGCCAGCACGTCTGTTGACGCCACGCAGAGCCAGATATTGGCCGCGAGCCAGTGCCGCGACAGGCTCTGCAGCGTGACGAGACTGTTCCAGGCATCAGCCCCGCCCAGCTGAAAGTCTGTCTGCCAATGCATCAAGCCCAGGGCTCTTGTTTGTCTGCTCTCTCGAGGGTCGGACAAGAGGGCCATGGAGCAAGCCATTGCTGCAGTCCTTGACGCGGCTAACTTTGACCATCACCCAACAGTGACTGTCCGCAGCTGCGCCCCGTTGAAGAAGCCTTGAGCTTGTTTTTTTTCTACATCATCTTCACTTATATGCTATATGCTTTCTTCCTTCGCGGCCCAAAGCTGTGTCTTTTTCCTCGCTCTGCAATCTTTCAATCGATGACTGGCTCTGCCTGACGATCAGTTGGCACTCGGCAGATATAGTTACAGTGGCCCAGCGTATCGTTTGGTCCAAACAGCTCTATCTGTCCCTCTCTGTGAGCTCTCCGTCGCCTTCTCCTCATCCTATACGCTGCTATTATCGCGTCCAACATGGATTTCGATAAACTTTCCATCACTGATCGCAAGATCATTGTGGGTATCGACTTTGGTACCACCTATTCCGGTGTTGCTTGGGCAGAGACGCAGCGGCCAGACAGACGGACGGCAATCACCACATGGCCCATCAACAAGACAACCCGCGAGGGCGAGTCTTCAGACAAAGTACCTACTAAGCTTCGTTATGCCCCAGATGGCACTCAGTGGGGCTTCTCTATCCCCATCACCGCTCCTCAGGATGAAGTCATCGAATGGTTCAAGCTGTGAGTCACCATCGTCCCGTCCATTACATGATCAGGCCTGACTACGTGGAATAAACTGACTGATATTTTGTCAATAGTGACTTGGACCCCTCTCTGAAAAACATTGGTCAGGCTGTTGCTAATGATGGTGCTCGTGGAGGCAGAGATGCCGAAAAGCTTGTCGCTGACTATCTGAATGCTCTTACCGAGCATCTCCTCTACACTCTGCGCGAGAAGCTCGGTGAGAGTGTCGTCAAGAGCACTCCGCTGGAGTTTGTCGTCACTGTACCAGCCATCTGGAGCGACCTCGCCAAAGACAAAACCAAAAAGGCATGTCAACAAGCCGTTCAAAATCTCCCCTTGGCGGCTGGCTCGTCCAAGACCCATATCCACCTTGTCTCCGAACCTGAGGCTGCTGCCATCTACGCTCTCCATGGACTGGATCCTCATGGCCTCAAGGTTGGCGAGACTGTGGTTGTTGTTGATGCCGGCGGTGGCACGGTTGATCTTATTTCCTACACTATTACCGGATTGAGGCCTATTCTTCAGGTCCAGGAGGCTGCTCCTGGTTCTGGCGCTCTTTGCGGCTCAACCTTTCTCAACATGCGGTTTGCCAAATTTCTCAAGGCCAAGCTAGGAAAGGAAGATGGATTCGACGATGAAATTCTTGCCGAGGCCATGGAGGTCTTTGAAAAGAAGGTCAAGCGTCAGTTTACCCTTGCTGCTCCTGCAGATGAGACGTACACCATCCCCGTTGGCGGCCTAGCCAACAACAAGACCCTCGGAATCAACCGCGGACGATATGCCCTCAAGGCCTCTGACCTGAACACCATATTTGAGCCTGTCGTTCTCGAAGTCATCAAGCTAGTCAAGGATCAGATCACTGTTAGCAACGTGCCTATCCGCGCTGTGCTTTTAGTCGGCGGCTTTGGCGCTTCCAATTATCTTAAGGAGCGTCTGAGAAACGCCGTAGACAAATCCATCCAGATCATGCAGCCTCCGAATGCCTGGCAAGCCGTCGTACAGGGTGCCGTGATGAAGGGTCTTGCTAACAGTGCGCCCGAGTCTCTCACCTTGGTCAAGGTGCAAAACCGCAAGGCGAGGAAGCACTATGGCACGGAGTGGCGCACCAAGTTCGACGACAGGATCCATGCTCATATAGCTGACAAGAAGAGCTGGAGCGGCATGGAGGGTTATTATAAGGTAAACGCCATGGAGTGGTTCATCCGCAAGGTACGACAATTTCTCATCTGCCCATTCTTTTTTCTCGCTGCCACTGTACCCCGTATGCCACCAGCTAACGCTATAAATCAGGGCGATGCCGTCTCCGAGAACGAGCCCTACATCACATCCTTTGTCTGGACAGGCCTCGTGGCTCACGGCCGCATCCGCAAGATGCGTATGACCATCTACTGCGACCAAACCTCCGAGGAAGCCCCCATCGACAGAAACGCAAATGTCCAAGTCTTGGCCCACGTTGAGGCCGACGTGAGCCACATCCCTGAGCATCTACTCAATCGACGACAAGGCAAAGACGGGCAGATGTACTATGACCTCAGCTGCAAGATTGAGGCTGTATACCTCTCTGCCTCCACTACGTATACTCTCTTATATAACAGTATGTGCTTTTCCTCTAGTCATCCCTTTTCCTCTACTCCTTATATTTTATATCAACATTTCCACAATCGGTTTATATACTATTGAATAGCTGGCTAACTCAGATACAGATCAACGATACGACACAGTTACTTGCGAATATGTCTAAGATACATGGCTAGATGGCAGCCTCTTTTGTCTATTATATCATATGTGGGCTTTTTTTTTTTTTTTTTTTTTTCTTTTTTTAGCTTTTCAGGGAGGGGAGTAAAGGATCTTTCGGGATATATGGCGAAACAGTCTGTACATAGAACGGTCCCCAATTAAGCAGGACAAGACAAGATTACCATCATAAACGTTCAACAAATATCAAATTTTGTTTTCCTAGTACAAGGATAAAATTATATTCAATACACGCGATGTGTCTACACTCTCGCGGGAAATAAAAAAAAAAAAAGTTGCATATGCTCCTCACTCCCTCCTGTCTCTTTTTTTTTTCTTTTTGGTCCACTAGATACGTACACAGAGAGATAGTAAAGGCTGAGCTATCGACAGCAATAACATACAGAAACCAGAGATATCATCAAAATTAAAAGAAAGCTAGTAACACAGAAGGACCATGTAGAAAAATAAGCAAAGCCACTGACAACAATGTAGCTCAGCTCGCCAAAAAAAAAAAAAAAAAAAAATACAATGCCGAGAGATATATGAAAGCAGCACAAAAAA